GTACAGAGACAGAGCATGGCCAAAAGGCAAAATAAAAATGCCCAAAGCGCATGCAGAGCAACAAATATGGTAAAGGACAAGGCGAGCAGGCAGGCGGGCAGTCAGGCGGGCAGTCAGCGATAGTAGCAAAAATGTCGCCAAACAAAGCAGAGGAAAAGCGAAAAACACGTTTTAAAATAGGTCACCATGGCGTATGCTTAATGTCTTTGCCAGCGCCTTTAATGAGCCCGACACCCAAGTAGGGCAATGCGAGCGACAGACAAAACTGAATAAAAAGGGAAAAGAGCAGCCCAGATTCTAATCAAAGAAAGTAAGTGTCTGGGAGCCATCAAAAGAGGAAATATTGTACATAAGATGCTGCATACTGCTTGGCGCATTTCCTCAAGGTTCCTTTTTCTCTTTTTTCTTAGCAAGTCTACTCCGCTGGCTTGCACGGCTTATGTAGTCAAGTTTTGTTATGCCAAAAAGAAAAGCAGGCGAGAAGGACAAAAAAATATGGGTAAAGAAAAAAAGAGCGAAGAGCGAGAAGAAACGCATAAAAACTTGTTGAGATTTATCTTGCCACACGCGAGGAACGCTGCAAGTTGCACACTCAAGCAGCACTCCACCATGCCATGCCACCCCAGTGTCGTCATCATCTAACTGCATTAGAGCTTCCGCTGCATACTTCACGGCGCATATGCCAGTTTATTTATGGTCCTGCCTGCCAGCGGCTCTCAGCGTGAGCATTTAAGCGCCTTAAAGTATGCACCGCACACTGCTTTTGCGCCGCAACTTCTTGCCACTTGTTGTGGCATATGTTGTTGGTGCTGCCTTTCGCTGCTCTTGTGCGTGGGCTTACATTATGAAAATCTGTGGCAACGACAGCACTCGACTGACTGAGTAGAGACAATAATGTGCTCAAGTGGGGGCCAAGTGAGCATGTGGGTCAAAGGTTTTCTCAGCCAGGCCATTCACGAGCTACAGGCACTCACTGCGCGTCGTTTGGGCTACAGCCAAAACAAAATAAAATAAAAGTGCAGCATTAGTTACCAGAAAAAGAATATATGAGAGTTCTAACATTTTTGGAAAAGCCAAAAATATAAATATAAAATATAAATAATAAATAAATGAATTAAATATTTTCTGCTAATGAATTTTTGAATATTTACTTGGACAAACATTTTGTAGAACTGAATATTATGACCAGCTCTAAGCGTATTTGTGTGTCCGCACGCACGGGGGGAGAGTGCCATCATATTGCAACCAGGGTACGATTCGTGTGTACAATTCCTGTGGCAGCTGTCCACAAACAACATTCCACGCTCCGTTGAGAAAAACAATGGTGTACTGCACACCACACACAATGTGGACAAAACAAAGCCCCAACAAAGTGCAAATACAAAACCAAAATCACACAAATAAATACACAATGCCGTGAAGAGCACGCTAAACCAAGCGACAAAATATTCGCTATCATCGAACATCGAACCCAAAATGCATCCACGACTCTGCACAATGCATTGACCATTGCAATGGTCTGAAAAAAAGGTATGGTTGGGCTTGGTAGTAGGAAATGCCTGAAAGGGTAAAGCCGTTAAGAAGATATCCTGCACGTTTGGTTTTACAAGTTTTTATTGTAAATATAATCTGCATATTCTCTTTGCTGTAAGATGATCGGTAAATCAAATTAGTTTTAATTATATTATGCACAATTATAAATGTCCCTCATATAGACTTAATTCCCTGAGCACCTTTGACAGGTCCTCCACAAAGCTTTAGAGTCCTCTACTAACAGCATTCGAAATATGACCCAAATATGCAAAATATTGCTTAGGCAATGGCATCAATGGGCAGGGTACAAAAAGCATGTGAAGAGCCATGGCCAACAATGAGAATGGTGTCAAACAACTGTTGAGTGTGTGTCCCCAGCATGGCAACTGTGTCCTAACTGAGCAGCAAACGCCCAACAATTTGTATTTGTTAGAATTTAAATAACCGGAAGCGTTTCCTCCCAGCAACAACGGATCTGCAACAGATTCAAGACAAACAAAAAAAGGAAAAACCCTGAAACAAAACAAATGCAAAACGGAAAGCGAAACAGCAACGAATGACACAAAATGCTGCTCCAGTTGGTCATCCCCCATCCCTCGCCACTCTTTCCGTAGCAAATGCATTGAGGGGAGAGCGAAGCTGAACTATCAATAACACTTAAAAGCTTTTTCAAATATTTTCTACCCGTTGTTTTGTCTGTTTGCTTCATTCTGTGCATTTGTTAGTTTTTGGTGCAGCATATTTATTATTTATTTTTTTTTATTTTTTATTTATTACTCCAAATGGTTTCGTTTCCTTTGCTTCTGCTCCCCTCGATATATATTTAAAAATGCAATTTTGCTCGTGTTGAAATGAAAAATATGCTACATTTGGCTCTACACCAGGGAGAGAGGCGAACAGCCGAACCAACAGCAATACTCGTTCGTATATGTATATACGTACGTAGCAGCATCATGAAATATTTGCCGAGCAGCATAAGTATTTCAATATTTATTGATAAATGCATCCGATGTTGTGTAGATTTTTGGTATACTCGTATTTGTTGAATGCGTTTGTTGTACAGAGGCGCTGGGAAGCGGTGAAAATCTTTGGGGAATTTCCCTGCTCATTGCATCAGGCAGCGATGATGATTGTAAATGTTTAGGGAAAATGTTTAAATATCTAAAAAATGTTTACTTCTCTCTACCCCATTCATAAACAGGCAAAATAAATTGTTGAGCACTTTAAAGATATTTTGAAGCCTGTTGTAGGTAACTGAACCATCAGTAGTCAGCGAGTCACGCTCGACTATAAAGTTTATATTTTATAAAGCCGATTAAAGAACCGGGAAAACATTTTTTAATACAACTTAAAGCTTATAATTAATTTTTAAAACGAAAACGTAAAAACGTAATTAGTTTATACGCACACACACACACACACGGCGCGCCGCACAAAAAACCCCACCAACGAGTGATTTTAATTAATTTCAAGAAAATAAAACAATATGTTAAACAGCCGATACAGCAGGGAAAAACGTTGCAGCAGACCAAATGTTTCTACAATTTCCATTACGTGAAAGTTTTGGGCCACTAAGTGGCCGCAAAACAAAATTTGTGTGTGTTTTATGCAGACATTAAATCCAAATTAAATCACAGTTTGAAAAGCAATTTGTTTTTTTGTTTTTTTTTTTTTGGTCTGTTTTGGTTTGAACCAAAATTGCCAACAGATGTTCATGAAAAATAGGGTCATCCAACCAAAAACATTTGTACGTACATATATTAAATTTAGTTAAATTTAATTAAATTTGATTCAATTTAGTTAATGCAATAATATGGGGAGTAAACAGACTAACAGATACTGATAGCAGCAGGGCCCAATTTCAATAATATAATTGTGCAAAGCAAACCATATTGGGCCAAACTAAATTAGGCCAGCTTCCAGTGCCTCGGAGCTCGCCAGCTGTGCAGAACCTATTCACGAGGAATATCACATTATCAGTGAAATAATTACAAATGGATTTATCTGCCTCCTATTACACTTTGTGTAATTATATATTAAAGATGCTGAATATATATAAATTAAATATTCAGTTCTTTGCAGTGATCTTTGCAACAAAAAAGTATTCCTACGATTATCGCTGCTAAACTTTTGTATACAACAAAAAAATACTTAAAATATATTTCAGCGCTGAAGCCTAAATTCTATCGAGACATAAATTTAACTTGTTAATTATAAGACTTAAAAACATACCTACAGATCCCTCGATTCATAGCATCCATCAGAAATAATACTCCTGTTATATGGCAGGCACTGCATGTGTAATGGCACAACATGGCAGAGGCAGCACCTTGCTGCCAGTCTCTGCACTCGTGCGTATTGATGTCGGGGGCCTTTGTCGAAAAATATTTAGACGCTTCAAAGACTCTGGCAAATTTCATCCTTGACTCGGGCAGAGCAGTGCTGGCCCCCAAAATGTGTTGCAACTCTTCTGTTGATGGGGCGTTTTGTGGGTCTAGCCGTGTGTGTCCATGCATGGGCGGCATGTGCCGGGCCAGACGCTTTATCTGACCGAGCGGGTCAAGCATCAGTTCATTTTATTGACATAAATGTTTATGTTTATTTGTCTGTGTTTAAGCCTTAATGTTTATTGTATTGTTGATCCCGCCTGCGCCGTCCTTGTTGCTCTTATTCCTGTCCAAATAAAACCAAAAACAACAATCAAACAAATATACAAAAGTCGAGTGTGTGCTTTACAAGTGTTTGCATGATGCTCCCCACACCCCCCGCTCGCAGAACATTGTGTATGCTTGTCGTGGCATTTTTAAATTAATTAAATTAAATGCATTTCTTTATGCAGTTAAGTGTTGTATAATTATATTAATTCCTGACAGTGTAAATAATATATAAATATTTACACAAGTAATTATACGTGTGATGCGATTTGGGTTTATAATTATTAATTCAATTGTTTGCAGTCCTTTCGGTCATCAACGATATTTTGCAATATTATTTTGTATGTTTTTAAGCATCATTTTATAATTGATTTAAAAATAATAATTATTAATTCTTTTTATTTAGCTGAAAGCGAAGGACTCCTTAAAAACAATTTCATAAAAAGCTGGCAGGTAGAAAACTTTGATACACACCAAAAGCTTTATGTTCTAAAATCATGTGACAGCTTTTTCTGAAGCTTATTTAGAGTTAACTTATACTTGAAATATTTGAAGCGTTGAAGAACGTAGAAAAACTAACAAATATTAGGCCCAATATGGAGGATTTTTAGATCCTCAATTATGTACGTAAATATATAAAATTAAATACGATGCCAAGCAAAAAGAAAACCAAGAGGACTTTCGTTTTTCCCTTAAATTTCTTTAGCACCGATTGATTATTTTATTATTTACTTTATTATCTACCTAGCGCTTCTTGCCCTAGAACAGCATTTGCTGTGCTCTATTTAAATTTGTAAATATTCTTGAATTAAATTTAATTTAAAACCCGAGCACCACTCGTGTAGAACTGTTTATTCGACGAACATTTATTAATAGTAAAATGATGACTGTTAGGCAATTACCAATTACAATTAAATTTGAAATCGCAAGAATGTCAGTGTATTAGTTTAGTAAGTTGGTTTAGTTTAGTATACGCGTGAGACTGTGAGCCTTGAATGTGCATTAGTTAGTTATAGTTAGTACATATGTATTAGTATCACTTTGATTTAACTCGATAACTTACTAAACGGCAGCGCTCTTCTCCGCTGCTTCACATGCTTGACGACTGCTTCACCTGCTTGACGACTGCTTCATCTGCTTGACGACTGCTTCACCTTCTTGACGGCTGCTTCGTTGTGGTGCAGAACGGAGAACGATAATCCAATTCCCACGCTCAACCCATGGTGTTGGACACATGCTTGTTGGAGCCAACAGTGCCGGGCGGCGGTGCGTCATTGGTGACGCACGTGGGTATGGCGCTCGACCACTTGCCGTTCTTCATGCACTTGAGCACCTTGGAGCCGCGCAGCTCGAGGCCGGCGTCACAGGTGAAGGTGATGCTCTCGCCGATGGCGTAGTAGAACTTGACAGAGGACATGCGTCCGCTGATGACGGTGCCCGGATACGAACAGGCCTGCACGCACTTGGGGAGACCGCCCGACCAGCGGCCGTTATCCTGACACGCAATTATTGGCTGACCTTGCATCATGTACTCCGGGTTGCAATTGAATTGGACCACATCGCCGGCACGATAAGGTGCCGAGCCCTGGGCGTAACCGTTTTGCGGCGCACCGGGATTATCGCACTGCACCTCAACACATGTGGGGAATGGCGACGACCATTCGCCCGTCGGGTTACAGATGGCCTCCGAGGGGCCGCGCAACCCATAACCCGACGAGCACGAGAACGCCGCACGTCCGCCCACCTCCCGCGACAGCACGGAGACGCGCGGCGAGCTCACATTGTTCGGCAGCGGTATATCTCCGCACTCGACGCTCTCGCAAACCGGCAACGGTGCGCTCCAATTGCCACTCGGCAAGCAAAACAGCTCCGATGCGCCAATCAACGAGTTGCCATTCGAACAGGACAACAGCACGCGTGTGCTCAGCTTCGTGTCGTTCGTGTTCACGATCAGGCCCCTTCGTATCGGTATCTCCGGGCAGTTGATCGCCTTCACCACCACCTCCACGGCGTGCTCGTGCCGCGCCGGTGTCATGCACGAGTAGAATCCAGTGTCATCGTGCCCGGCATCCAGTATACTCAGACGATACTCCAGCGACGAGTCGCGACCCGCATCTGCCTCTGTCACCCAGCCCTCCGTGTAGTTTCTGCCAAGGAAACAAATTTAATTATACGTTTTGGATGGGCGTATGCATCCCCTGGCTGGGTTATACCCACTTGTGCACGTGACTGACATTCCACTTGGGATTGCCGAAGCGTCGCATCCACAGGCACTCCATGTGCAGCGTGGTGCCCGGATAGACAATCAGTTTGCCATCGTTGCTCTGGGCAATGGGTCCGTTCTGGTGGCGGAACAGAATGGTGGGCGCCTTCTCCACTGCAATCGAGAGAGGTTCGAAATTAATCTAAGCCCACTTGGCCTGGCACGCTCTGCAGCTGACACCCACTCGCATAATCGTTTTCCTGATTGAGGCCTGCGCACACGGGCTTTGTGTTTGTCCACTCCGAATGGATGCAGGTGCGCTCGTGGCTGCCGGTCATCGAGAACTTGCCAATGTCGACACACCTGCACGAGCAAAGGGGGGTATTACACGCGTGGCAAGCACTAAACGAGGAGCCAGAAGCTCATACCTGGAGATGATGGTGGCTCCCGGGGGAAAGTCCACGACATCTTCACGTATCTCCAAATCATTATAGAAACTGACCACATTCGCCTCATTGTTCTTGAACACGCACGTGCCGTTCTCTGGCAAAATAATGCATCAATATGGCACTCAGATCGGCGATCAGTTGATCCACAAGACTCACCGCAGTTGTAGGATCGGCCTATCCACAGTCCGTTGTCGCAGATGATGCGCCATGTCTGCCGATCGCCAGCCGCATTTGGTATGCAATTGAAGAAGATCTCTGTGCCGCTCTCGTAGACCCCATCGATGTCCGCATGCATGTCCGTATTCCTACACAAGATCAGCAGAATCAGATGGGTTTGCTGATGGGTCTGGGCTTTCGGATGCCAGACTCAACTTACTTGTAGACCAGGGCGCCATCGGTTAGCATCGGCGGGCCACACATCTTCAGGTCATCGTCGTCGTGGTCCGTGTTGTTGTCGTGATGGTCGTGATCGTTGTCCAGCTCGTTGTGCTCCAGCTTGGGATGCGCTGGCGTGGGCGTTGCATGCTCGAGCTCCTCGCGGGAGCGGCGCATGCCAGACTCGCAGGGTATGCTGGGTGGCGTGAGGACGCCCTTGTGGCAGGACATCTCAATGGGATTGGCATTGGTGGAGAGCTCACACCGCACGCTCACCGTGCCGCCATGGCCGATGGTGAGGCCGGCACGGTAACCGCCCTGCAGGCAATGTTTATGTTAAATTTTATTATTTCGCAATGCATTCAAGGGATTGTCTCACATCGTAGATGACGCCCGGAATGTTGGGCAGTGTGCAGGGCACGGAGGTGCACTCGGAGAACGCAGCCACCGACCAGGAGCCGTGAGCACAGCGCAGCTGGGCCAAGCCCTGCGCAATGGCAAAGAAATAAATTAAAATAAATTGAAGCGCACCCAAGGAGAGGAAGGCCCACCTGTATGTTGAAGCCATCCTCGCACTCGAGCGTCACGAACTCATTGGACTGGATCTCCTCGTAGGTGGACAGCGGCGTCAGCGATGGCTTGTCGCTCAGCTGCTTCGTGTGCGGCTCCACCTTGTAGTACTGGCCGTGCTCCACGGCCGGCACCAGGCACGGTGCCGACATGCACCTGGGCGTCTCCGGCTTCCAGATGCCGCGTATGCAGCGGGCCGTCGCATTCTCGCCCCCCTTGATGTTCAGCTTGAAGCCCGCATTGCACTCCAGCTGCAGCATTATGCCCACGGAATTCCGGCCCGGCACCTTGCCCGGCCGCACCGTCGTGATGTTGGCAAACGAATCCCAGTCAAGATCCTCGCAGGGTCCGCGAATACGCTTACCGCCCGCACCCTTGCCAGCCTCGCCGCCGTCACTGGTGTCCACATCGGCGTCGGGCAGCGTGGCGGACGAACCGGAGCCCGCTGAGCCCGTGCCACTGGCCGTGCTGCGCTTTCGACGCCGTCCCACGATCTGTGACTTGAGCTGCTCGATGAAGGAGAGTGTCGTGTTGGGGCGGAGCTGCCGCGCCGCCATCCGTGGCGGTGACCCATTGGCCAGCGGTGCCTCATTGGAGCTCAGATCCATGGACTGGGTGTGGCTACGCGAGCTCTGATTGATGTTGGGCAGCGGCACCACTCCGCCCGTACGATAATCGTTTCGATGCTCAAAGTCCTCGGCCTCGTGAGGGCCACTGTGCCACTTGTGCGTCGTCTTGCCGCGCATCATGACCATCTCCGGGCTGTTGGGACTGTTCTGACTGTTGGGAGTGTTGGGAGTGTTCTGACTGTTGTACCAGAGTCCATCGTGCGCGTGCAGCCGCTGATAGATCCTATTGTGGCCGAGCATTTTGCGCACATAGCGCTGATAGCGCTCCTTGATCGTTTGATAGTATTTGGAATAGGCCAGATCCAGGTCCGTGGGATGCGGATGGGCATTTGCATGTGCTTTGGGATTTGGATTGGGGCTGCGCTTTACACGATGTGCTGAAGCTGGAATTGGATTACGGCTAGGAGATCTTTACACCATGAGCTGTGTTCAGGCGGCACTTACTTCCCTCCATGTGGCTCTGGCTCTGGTGTTCCGCCAGTTCGCGTTGCAGCTGTCGCTGGCGTTGCAGCAGATAGACGGATCTCAGTTGACGCAGCTGCAGCGAGCGACGTCGCCGGCGATTCCAGCGGAGCCGCGGATGCTGGCCCAGCAGACACTGCGGCAGATCCAGGGGACGCCATTTACCAGCCACGCAGGTGGCACCCGGCGGACCAACCTGCTCCGAAGGCAAGAAAAGAAAGGCAACACTCAGCTGCAGGGGCACACTTGGACACTTTGTTTCCTCTTACCTCGAGCACATATCCCTTGTCGCAGTCGTACATGATCTGCTTGTTGTTGACAATCTTCTTGACGTACGGCCGGTAGTCGTAGAGGCCCATGTTGCCCACCAGCAGCACCTTGCCGTTGGGTATGTAGCCGGGAAACGAGCAGAAGACCTCATCACATTTGGGCGTCTCACCCGTCCAATTGCCAAAGGAACAGGTGAGCACATAGTCGTGCGGATCGGTGACATCCTTGCCCTCGGGACTGACCAGCTTGAAGCCATCCTTGCACTTGAACCGCGCCTTCATGCCGTGCTCCGTTTTGGGCGCCATCACCATGCCGTGCTTGGGTGGACGCGGCATGCTCTTGCAGCGGGCCGGTATGCAGCGCGGTATGATGCTCCACGTGCCATTGTTGCAGGTCGGCGGACTCAGCAGCGAGACGGGAAACTCGTAGTTCTCATCGCACATCACCTCCAGCGCCGTGCCGTGCTTGACCTTCTCCACACCCACGCCCAGGCTTTGGGCGGGCGACTGGGTGGTTGTGGTCACGTTGGGCGTCACAATTGTCGTTCCGTTCTCGTCTACGGTTATTTCGATGGGAATGACATAGCCCTGGGATATGGTGGGCACCACGCAGGGAGCCAAACACTCGGGCAGGGCGTTGCGCCAGCGTCCATCGATCTGGCAGACGCTCGAGCCCAAGCCATTGATCATCATCTCGGGCTGGCAGCGGAAGATGATGCTGGCGCCGAGGCCAGTGCCCGCCTCAATGTTCTCGATCCAGCCGTTGTACAGGACGCCGGGATGTCCGCAATTGATCTCTGTTCAGGTTGGCATTAGCTTTAGTTTTGGGAGCGCAAAATCAGTTGAGTCAGGTCAGTGGCTTACCCTTGCAGGTGGGCAGGGTGCCGCTCCACTTGCGATCGGCGCCGCAGCGGCTGGAGCTCTCGCCGACCAGGGTGTAGCCGTAGCGGCACTCGTAGCTGACCACCGAATTGTACGCCAGCGTGGTGTAGGTGGCCTTGCCATTCTTGGGATTCTCCGGCGTGGGGCACACCACAGAGGTCACCACTGCGTGCAACACAGAGGGAGAGAGAGCAGTGAGAGAGAGAGGGTTAGCAAGGGGGTTCAAGGGGCTAAAAGTTACCACAAATCTTGGACAAAAGCCACGCTTGGCACCAGGCCACCAAATAAAACACGTTTCGGGTTTTTCGTTTTCGTTTAAATCGTGAAATGTTTTTTTTTTTTTTTTAATTTCTTTTTGTTTTTTTTTTGCTTAAGATTTGCGGTAACTTTTATTTATTCAATCAACATTTAAAGGCCAACAACAACAACAACAAGGTTTTTGCATTTAAATTGGAACAATCTGTCGGTAAACGCTAGGATCAAATAGTTCGTTGGATAACAGAAAGATTTTCTTTCGTTTGTTTGTTGAACAAGACTGGAAATTGGAGCCCTGAATCAAAGTGCGAACGAGTGTGGGTGGTTAATTTATTCATTGGCTTTGACTTTTTAGCTTAATAATCATCGCCGCCCCATCTCCCCAGATCTCTCTTTGGCCTGTCTAAACTTGGCTTGGGCTTGGGCTTGGGCTTTGGGTTGGGGGGTTGCGGAAATATTCAAATTCAAATATTTATTTGGCAAGTAGTGCCCCTCGTGCTTAGGACAACGACGCTTGGGTGGTTGTGGTTACATTTGCGCTATCCGCTTCAGACGGGGGGTAAATGGAGTTCAAAGGGAATGGAGTTCAATTACAATCACCGCCGATCCAATCCAAATCGCAATCTCAATATACTCACAGACACACGTCGGCAGCTCCTTGGGCGTCCACGAGCCATCCGACTGGCAGTAGCGCTCGTGCTTGCCCACCAGCTCGTAGCCGGTGCCACAGTTGTAGGTGATCTTGCAGCCGTACGTATAGCATTCGCCGGCATGCCAGCCATACGCCGGATCCGGTGGCTGGCCACACGAGCGTGCTGCAATATCCAATAGCCATAAATTCAGATTAAGCGATGACATTGCGCGTGTAAATGGTTAAACACTCACGTTCACACTGTATATCGGGTCCGTACCAGCTGGCCTGGTTGTCTATGGCCAGACACTTGGCCCGCGGAAAGCCATTGGTCACATAGCCCGTGTGGCAGTGGTACTGCACCGTCGAGTCCAGGTCGAATGTCTCCTGCTCGGGCAGCGCCGAGTTTCTGGCATGCTCGATCTGCTGCGGCTTCAGGCAGTAGACTGCGCCCGGAAACAAGAATTTAAATCGAATTTAAATCGAATTTAAATGGAAATTTGTAGTGCTTACTGTTCTGCTTGCAGGCTGGCTCCGCGCCCGCCCAGTTGCCATCGGCCTGGCACAGACGACTCTGCAGGCCCACCACATGATAGCCATGGGGACAGGCATAGGAGGCACGAGCACCAAAGTGCCGTCCAGCCACGGTGACCTGACCCAGCGTGGGTTGAGCCAGCTCGGGGCACTCGCGATCTAAGCAGAAGAACACAAATATACAGTGAGAAAATGGACATTTACCAAGGGAATATGTGCCATGGCCGTACCGGGCTTGATGCACGAATTGCCGCAGACGCCGTCGCACAGGCACTTCTTCTTCTTGCTCTTGCAGTCCTCGTCCGAGGAGCATTTTCTCAAGCACTTCTGGCCCAGCAGCGTGGCCTGCTCCTCATCCCTGGGACACTCGGTGGATGGGGAGTTGCGTGGATTCTTGTACACCCTGCCGTCATCGTCGGATTCCAGCGAGTCATCGTCCTCATCCCAATCATCGTCATCGTCGTCCTGCTGGGGTATCTCTGTGGTGGTCTGCACACTGGTGCCAGTTGTGCTGGTCGGCACGGAACTCACTGCAACGAAACGAAGTTCAAAACAGATCAACAAATGCCCGGGACAGCTGTTGCCAGCGCGCCAACCCCCCCAGCAGCAACAGCAGCAGCAGCAGCAACCCCCAACCCTATCTGGTGTTCTGTTGTGATTCCGTGGATTCGCTGTTGTCCCTGTGTTTGTTTTGTTCCGCCATGCCTTGCCATGCGTTGCCTTGCTTGGTGGCAAAAACATTGACCTATTTCCACCGATGCCTGCTCCAGATGCGAGTCGTTTCCAGCATCGTTCGGGACCTGCGCACTGTCCGCCAGCTTATATAATCCAGCAGCATATACATTTTTCAGCCAATTCACATGGAAAATTCTACAATTTCAGGGCAGTCTTTCATTCATCCGCTGCTGCTTTTTTCCATGCTTTTTGCCATCGCCTCAGTCGCGCAATTCGATTAATTGATTTGATTAATAATATTTAATCCAGAACGAACCTTTGTACACCAGAATGGTGGCCACCAGACACTGCAGCAGCAGACGATTCATTTTGATTAATGTCCAATTGGGTTTGCGTTCCTTTTGATTTTCCTATTTGCTTTTGATCTAAAGCATTTTCGCAACAAATTTGTGAATTTCTTTTTCCTTTTTTTTTTTTTGATTAGTAGCTTTTTGAATTTTTTGCTACGCTTGGGCTCTGAGCCACGAAGACTTTACACTTTGGCGGAATAACACGAAATGCAGCCAGCCCAGCTGCTGCGAGTCGAAAGTCTTTTCCAGGCTCTCGGCTTTTCACAGATCAAGAGAGCAGCAGCCAATTTCTGACAGCTCACGATGCTGCCCTGGTGGGTGGTGGTGGGTGCACTCAAGTATTGGCGAGCCATTTGGTGGTTTACTTTTGCCAAAATTATAGCATACCTATGTGGGGCATGTCTTTGATAAAACATATTATTTTAATACTTAAAAATACACATATATTATTTTTTAGCTATGCATTTTTTTCGCGCTTTTTCGTCGTATATATTTGAATTTAAAATCTTGAAAAAATTAGTTTCATTAACAAATTAAATCCTAATATTTTTAGCAAACTAAAAATCAACTAATTTATCATTATTCAATTCTATCCCATTATTAATTTTTGTTTTTTTACTTACAAATATCTACTCTGAGCTCCGCATAGAATTCCACAATCCACATTTCTCGCTAGCCCTACCTGTAACGGTAATTTTCGGAAAGCATTTCGTTCGGCCGCTTTTTATTGGACTTTTTTCAAACTTTTTTCGCCGCCGAGCTTTTGATGAGAGAGCGCACTGAAGAAAGCTTTCACTCTCTCACTTGTTCGCTCGTTCGCTCGCTCGCTCGCTCGGCGTACAATTTTCCATCGCTCACGGGCCAGAAGCAGTGAAAACGCACAGCACCGAGCACCGACGACTACGCACAGTCACGGGAAAAACTATCCACAAGCGCGCACAAGCAAATATAAACGGAAAAAAAAAAGAAAAAATTACAAAAAAAAAAAACACGCATACGCACACGCACGCACACACACACACACACGCGGAAAAAGTAGACACTTTTTTAGAGGCGAAAATGTCTTCGGGGCAGCAAGAGTGTAACAAACATTTTGATTAAGCAATTAATTGAGCAAAGTGCAAGTGCAGTGGGTGGAAAATGTTTTAGATTCGGTTCGCGGTACGCTGTTCGGTTCGGTTACGGGTTAGGGTACGGGTACGGGTACGGATAGGGGTACGGGTGCTTTCGGGTCGGGACGGGGTACGTGTACGGGTACGGCGGGGGCGCATGTGAAAAGCGCGTAAAGAAAAGTAAGTGCCAGAAATTTGTGTATTAAAATAAATCAACTAACCAACTAAACGATGCATACACACACACACACCCCACAGCGATTAGAGTGTGTATGTACGCCCCGAGTGTGTGCGTGTGTGTGTGTGTGTGTGTGTGTGCGTTCAGTGTTCTGAGCGGTGGGGCAGGCATCTGCAAAAGTAAGGGAAATACGAAAGGTTTGACCAACTAATTGATATTGAACCATTTCGAAATACATCTGCGACAAAATGTCGAACTAGCCAGCTGCATATAAAGGCACATACAAGTATCTCTCTGTGTATATAGATAGAGGGGGGGGAAAGTGTATTTTTAGCTTTTGTGAAGGAATTTAAATTGAATGCGAAAGACACCAAAATAATGTGTATGTCTGTCCGAGCGATTGAACATATTTTGATATCCAATAAATACTTAAATAAAACACAAAAAAAAAAATGAACGAGAAAAAAAAACATATTTAGCATCTATAGAGATTTCGGAAGCAGGAGCGACAGAGAGCGAGCGAGCGATGAGGGCTGGGGGGGTGAGGGTGAGGGTGAGAGGGAGAGAGGGAGCTCGCGCGTCAACAATTTTCAAGCGTGTACACAAAAATCCAGCCAAGCGCATTGCCCGCAATAAATCCGAGACGATACCCAGACCCAGACCCAGCCGACAGAACCCACCACCCAGCCACCCAAAAACCACCCAACCAGGCCAGTCCGGCCACTTGATTAACGGCCGAGCAGAGAGCATGCGTTCTACCTGCCTCAGCTTTCGCTCTCTCTCTCGCTCATCCGCTCTCTGGCACTCTCTGACCCGCTCTGCGAGTGGCAGGCAGGACTTTGTTTTTGTCATTGACCTGTTGTGGGGCAAAGAAAGATATGGGCAATCCATCAAATACGTTCAGAATAAAAGGATTTGCACTGAAAACTTGAGAGCATCACGTCAGATTAATCAGCAAGGACTTAATTGATGTGTGTGGCAGGACCATCGAAGGTAATAGATATCTGTGCATATATTTAACAGCTGTGAGTGGCTGTTATCCTCATTGGGCAATCCAAAGTGGCTGTAAACTTAAGCTTGAGGTGTCCTTAGACAAAAAACTGAACCTACTTCTGTGGTTAACCTTTGCAGGACATCCATAGTCAATTTTAAGTTAACTAGCATCAAACAGAGGCTCCACTACGTCAAATAATGGGCAACGTGTGCAGTTCCGGCCAGAAGAAAAAGAAGGACAAGGACAGCGGCTCCGAGAAGTCCGACGAGTGAGTGCCACAGTGCCACAGGGCATGCCCCTCCAGAAGGAGAACTCAAAGCTAACTGAATTTTTTGGTTTGCAGTTCCCCACCTTACCAGGAGGCAGACAAAAAGGATGCACTCATATCCAATGATTTGGGAAGCGAGAAGCGTGCCCCACTGGCCGCTGTGGAGGCTCTGCCAGAGACGACCCCAGCGCCAGAGGCCAATGGCAATCAGACGCAGCCGTCAGCACAGACGGCTCAGGCCAAGACCAGTGTCACGGAAAAAGGTGAGTAGCGACAATCAGAGGGGGGTTCGAGCTTATGCTGACTGACATTGCACTTGACAGACTCCAACAGCACCACACCGCAGGGGGCGCTGGCGCCCAGCGATGTGGCCAATGCCAATCCGGGCGTGGGAAATCTGAGCATGCTGCAGGGCAAGCCGCCGCCCGGCCGCAAAATCGAGCGGGACAAGAAGATCGTCATCTATATACTGGCTGACAACAGCACCGAGTACAAGAAGCACAAGCGCGTCATCTACAGCCTGTACAAACATTTCAAGAGCAAGTGCCAAAGCCGGGGATTCGACTTCATCATTGCCGATGTGCATGACAGCGAGGAGCATGTGGAGCAGACCAATGGCAATGCGAAGAAGGACTTCGCCCGGCTGCAGGAGGTCAAGCGCTGGACACAGACACCGCTGGAGGCGCAGGGTGGCCACGAGGAGGCCGCCAATTGCCTGTGCGAGATATCGCGCCATTCGGCCGGCGCCTACATCATACCCGTGCTCTTTCTGGGCTCCAACCTGGGCACACCGATGCTGCCGCTGACCATCGAGAGTCAGGACTTCACCTCGGTGCTGGGCACCGCCAGCGATGCGGAGAAGCTGCTGCTCGAGAAGTGGTACACCATAGACAATTCTTACCAGCCGATGTGCCATCGCCTCTACACGCAGCAGATCGATCCGTACTCCACGCAGGTCAACGGCGAGCTGAACGAGCTGCTGACGGTGCTGCTGCGCCTCTTCTCGGACGACGTGAAGGACTCCTATCTGACGACGGTGGTGGAGCAGGAGATCAACAATACGGTGCTGATGAGCCAGGAGCTTGCCAAGCGCTGCATATGGATACAGACGGGCGCCCACTACTCGCGGGCGCCGGAGAATGCCAGCCAGCTGGAGCTGGAGGTGCTGCGTCGCATCACCCGCATCTACACGGAGCTCAAGAGTCAGCTGTGCGAGAAAAATCTGATCCGGCTGCTGCCCACCATGAACATACTGGACGAGGAGCTGTCGGCGGTTATCGAGAGTCTGCTGGACAAGTCGCTGGCCGGCATCTTCGAGGAGCATCAGCAGAAGAGCAGCATACCCTACAACACGCTGGGCGTGGACAGGGTCCTGCTCGAGGAGCTCCAGCTCATCGGCCACTACTCCAAGCTGCTTGCCCAGAACTCGGCCAACTTCGACATCATGAACGACGTGAAGCGCTACATACGCGATGCCACCGCTCAGCCGCTGGTCGTGTCCGGCGATCGGGGCAGCGGCAAGAGTGTGCTCGTCTCCAAGATAATGGAGAACGTGCACCGCTGGAAGCCGGAGGCCCAGCTGATATTAAGGTAGTTGTTGTACCCAAATTCAGATCCATACAAAGCTCCCGCTGCTAATATTCCCACATCGCACAACAGATACGCCAACCTGAGTGCTCGCTCCTCGGATCTCACCTCGCTGCTGGGTTCGATGGCCAATCAGATGTCGGTGCTGGAGTCGGGCCAACAGTGCCAGGTGCCGCACGTAAGTGAATGAATCTCCTGCAAGAGTCACAGTTCTTATTTGGACACACCTTTCCTTTGACAGACCCTCGAGGGCTATGCCGGTGCCATTCGGGAGATTCTGGGACGCCAGCAGCGCCTCTTTGTCCTCATCATTGACGGCGTGGACGAGCTGCAGCGCGATGCGGCACTGGACTGGCTGCCACAGCAGCTGGGCCACTCGAAGCTCATTCTGACCGTCAGCGAGCTGCAGGAGGAGCAGAAGGCGCAGGAGGAGGATCAGCAGCAGCAGCAGGATGATTCCTTTGATATGCTCGGCGCGCTGGCGCAGCTGGGCATACCGCAGCGTTGCTTTCTGCGGCTGCGGCAGTTTACGGAGCGCCAGTGGCACGATATACTCAGCTCCGGCGGCGGCGACTTCTACGCGGCCAATGGGGCGCTCAAGTTGCCGGACGAATGGAAGTCGCTGCACGGCAAGACGCCCTACCATGCCAAGTCGCTGTGGTGGCTGGCATGGCTGGGGCATGTGGCGCAGCCGATCAGCGAGATCGGCGACATATCCAGCCGAATACTGCAGGTGCTGGAGACGAAGTTTGCAACGGATCAGGTGGAGTTGCTGCTGCTGATAGTGCGGCTGTCGCCGTGGGGCATCAGGGAGAGCGACTGTCTGGGTGTTTTCCAGAAGATGACGCAGCTGGAGGCGCAGGTCGCCTTCAAGATATGGTCCAAGTTCTGCTGGCTGATGGGACCAATGCTATTAGGTCTTAAGAATATTAGGATAGCGGACAGGAGCTTTGGACGCGCCGTCCTGGCGAGGTATGCGCAGAAGCAGTGGCTGGTACATGAAGCGCTGCGGGACTACTTCGATCGGCAGGACAGCGAGTTCAAGGGTAGCCAGGGTGCCAACACGTAAGCTCATTCCACTCCACACACTCTCATATCCTTACAGCATCTCCTTGCATTGCAGCTACAATTACCAGAAGTACTTAAAACTGCCTTATCATCACTTCTGTGCCGTGATTGAGGACAAGCCGGCGACGCACAAGATCGACATACTCTTCAATTGCTTTTACTTTACGGACCTCCAATGGATCGCCAACAAGGTGCATGCCACTGGGCCGAATCATCTGATGCACGACATCCTTCACGCCGAGTGGCTGGCCGCCGTTGGCAGCGATGGCTCCACCGGCTATGTGCATATCAATTTCCTCAAGCAGTTTCTTGTCCAGTATCTGCACGAGCTGAGCTACGACGGCCAACAGTTCTACACGCTCATGAAGTACTATCTGAAGACGCGCTTCAGGGAGTCGCCCGCCCTCAAGGACGATCAGAAGATACGCTCCTGGTGGGAGTACACCAATGAGCTGGAGTTTGCCTTCCTCGAGATTCTCAATGCGGACCTGGACGCAGAGAATGGCAACGAGCAGCCAGAGCAGGATGCCGATGCCGATGCCAATGCCGATGCTGATGCTGCGGCAGTTGCTCCTGTCAGGGGCTACGATCTGCTGATTAATCTACCCCAGCCGGGCTGCTACGTTGCCTCACTGTGCACGGAACGTGCCGAGATCTGCATCTGGGATGTGAAGAACTGCTGTCGCATCAGAGAGCTCCAGGGCATACAGCAGCCGACGGCAATGTGTCCCGTTGGCAGCTACGAGGCGGCTGTGCTCTGTCGCCGCGAGATTCGTGTCATCAATCTGGATGAGGGAAAGTTTAAGGTGAGTAGTTGAACTGTACTCAAACGATGGTTATTCTCTACATGCTCTCCATTCTCTCCACGATCAGGTCACACTCAAGGGCGTGATGAACCAGAAGATGCCCTACTTCGGTCTGCACGATCAGAATCATTTGGTTTGCCTCTCCCGCAATCGCATGTATGTGAATCTCATGAATCTGGACTCTGGGGATTGTGTGACCACCTTTAAGGCGGGCGAAGATCGTTTCCTCAACTCCCTGCTGGTCTCTGGCGACGGACGGTAAGTGAAATGGGTTTGAATCTTGAGGTGAAATTGAATTATCAATTATCAATCTGCAGCATCCTTGTCTGTGGCGATGAGACGCAGAAGCCCTTCCCGTTGCTCGTCTGGCATCTGTCGCAGCGGAAACTGCTCTACGATCTGCGCATACCGCATCATGACTTCATGACTGCACTCTCGGCCATTACCCACGAGGGCTCCTACGTCTGTGTGGTGGCCAAGGAGCTGAACGAGCCGACCACACCCAACTTCATTGTGGTGTATGATCTGCAGAGTGGAACTCTGTTCAAGAAGTGGAAGCCCAGCTGCAATACCGTCTCCCTGGCCATATCCCAGTTGAATGCCTGTGTTATAGCTGGTCTAGAAGATGCCAAAATAGTCATCTGGGATCTGGTCACTGGCAACTGCAAGTCCACCCTGATTGGCCACAATGCGCCGGTGACGTTCTTGAAACTCGATCCGCTCGGCAAGGTGCTGGTCTCCTATGACAAGGAGGGACGCGACACTGCCATACGCATGTGGGAACTCAACTCAGGTGAGTCTTTTGGCTTACGATTTGCCATCTTGGAGCGTTTCTTATTCGTTCGTTCTTGTGGCAGCCAAATCGCTGGCCGTTTTCAAGCCACCCGCTCAGGTGAGCACCTGCGAGATATTGCCCAACGGCGCCTTTGTCGTGCTGGCCCTCAAAGATCGCAATGCACTGCTCACGTTGGCCCTGAAGAACTACGGCGGGGGCTCCGGCGACTCCCTGGAGGATGACTGTGGCACACTGTATGGCAATCCAGATAACCAGCACAAAGTTTTCGACTTGAGTAATTAAATTAAATTAAATTAAATCAATTAAAGTTAGTTATCATTATTCGAATTATAAAAAACAAATGAAGCTCCTCCTGCAAGAAAGGATACCAAAGGAAAACAGAATTTTGAACTATTATAAATACGGCAAACAAACTTCTCATGCATAATTCATTAGTTGTATGTAAAATTCTTTAAACAAATCTTACCAAATGTACAAACAATGCAAAGAAATCCAAAGAAATAATTAATTTAAAAATCCACTCAGTCCCACGCCCGCCGCACGTCTCTTCATTTCTGGTTGGTTCGGTTTATGTGGTAGCGAATAGATACAGCAGATTCTTGGCAAATTGAACGATCTCGGTGCCGCCCAGCTTGGATGTACCGTAGATGCGATCGACGAATGTGATGGGCACCTCGGCAATGGTATAGCCGTGCTGGCGCGCTCGCACCAACATTTCCATTTGAAAGACATAGCCCTTGGACACACAGCTGGCGATGCACTTCTCGAGCACATCCTTTTTGTAGAGACGAAACGAGCCGGTCAGGTCACTGGCATTGGGGCGCAGCAGGACCTGCGAGAGGTAATTGGCGCCGCGTGAGATTAGCTTGCGCTTGAAGTCCCAGCCATAGACACCGCCGTCTCCGGCATACCGCGTGCCCGAAACAATGTCATAGTCGCCCTTCTGTTGCAGCTCGATGAACTCCGGTATAAACTTGGGCTGTATAGGGGTTAGATTCGTTTACACGTCACACGGAGTGTGGTGTTATCTATGCTCACATGATGACTCAAGTCCGCATCGATGATAATTATAAAATCTCCGGTGGCATGTTTGATCCCATGAATGTAGGCTGTACCCAAGCCCAGCTTGGAGGCGCGTGGCCGGAGGATAATCCTATCCTCGCCGTAGATGCCCTGCAGATCCTTGGCCACATCCAATGTTCCGTCCGGACTGCCATCGTCTATCACAATCACCTCGTACTCGTAGCCGCTACATAGAAAGAGACAACTGTACAAAGACTGTTTTTACTCGGATTGGGAATAGCTACTCACCTGGCTTTCATGTATTTGACAATCAGCCATATTATAATAGGTAAATTGTCCTTTTCATTGTAGGTGGGCAGCAAAATGCTGTATTTGTGGGCATTTGTTGGCATTGCTGTATGTTTTTAGCTGTGCAAATGCAATCCAATTAAAGCAGTGTTGCAATGTGTCAAACAGCTGACTGCCTTTCGATGTATCGATATAGCCGATGTTTTAACAGAATTCGTTTTTAGTTAAAGGTTATTGCTGTTTAAAAACAAATACTCAATTAATATAAACATAAAAGCATACAAATTGAAAATTGAAAGCAATAAAAATTAAAAATAAATATATATAAACAAAGATGTTGGCAAAACATCGAGTGCCATAACACCATCGATTGTTTTTACAGCTTTACAACACTGGCCGTCTGCTCCGGGGTCGTGATTGTTTTAATTTTGTTTAAAGTTTTTAGCATTATTTATCAACTTTCGTGTCGTGTGTGCATGGTCGCGGCCGTGTTTATGTCCCGAAGCATAGTTACGTGTGTTTTTAAATCGTCAGAATGGCCAAAAAGATACCATTTAATGTAGTATTTGCCTCAGGTAAACAAGCGGCGGAGCCATCCAAACAACAATACATTTTACCTGCAATATTTTTGTTGATATAATTTTGTTTGTTTTATGGTTTTTATGCGTTTTTTCTTTCATTTTGTTTTAGCGACTGCTGCTGTTCTGCATGTAAGCATCCGTTCACCGCCACCCCTTACCCATGTCGCATTATAATTTGGCTGCACTTGAGAAATCAATACAGCACCTACAAATATGTACGTTTGTTGCTGCAGCAGTTAGATTTTAGTTTTGGACAGACTTAAGTTAATTTCTTAAGGGGTTTACATTTCTGAATAAATATTAGTTTACCCCAAACAGCGTTTTCAATTTGCCCCACACAGTTCCAGGTAATTTGTCATGGAACATTGCAATAGCTCGCAATGCAAGCTAACAACGACGCTTTAAATACCCTAAAGATAATGTCGGAATAAGGAGTAACTCTAGGACTATCTTGTGCTAATTGAAAGGATGCAAATACATCTGCCATGGTCCCAGATAAATCATGGTAATCCTGACAGATTGTCATAATATGCCTGGCCTTTTTTGGTGTCTGCATATCCAATTAGAGATGCGGGCAAAGTTTATTTATTGGCAGTGAGCCAAGCGCTTTATTTTGTACTAAGTTTCCCCCTGAATAGCCTCCGTAGCCTTACCTTTTGTCCTCGGCAGATGTGGCTGGCTTTTTTTACTTGGCCTGCTCCTGTTTTTTCTTCTGCCTATACTTCAGCTTGCTCAAGAGCGATGAAACGGGCGAGATGATAGTCAATACATAGACCAACGATGTGACCAGCATCAAGCCGGGAATAAAATCGTTGTCCACATGTTTCGTGAAGAACTTCGAGTAGTATCCCAGGTAGATGGCGCCCATGCCTAGCGTATAGGTGACCAGGCCGAACAGATTATGGCGGAAACGCAGCTCCGAGGGGGGGTACAACTTGAGGGCCAACTTTGGCTGGAAATAGTTGGCCAGACCACCCACAATACTGGCTGCGCAGAAGAAGCTAGCAGTGGCGCCTGCAACAAATGAAATTTACATAGATTAGCGTCAAGCAGTCAATGAGCCATAAAGTGTAACCGAAAGACACTCACCCACGCACCCATGCCAGGTGTTGAAGTGAACCTCCTTGCTGGAGAACTTGCCCAGTCCCCCCAGGAGGACCATGGAGCCGCCGATGATTTGCAGAATGCCGTGGAAACGCGACTTGTTGCGGTGCGACAGCCAGCGGGTAATGGGATTAACCTTGTAGTGTGACATCATGGCCTGGCCGATTAGGACGTGGAACTGTCCAAGGGAAGAGAATTACTATTTAGCGCATCGATAAGATAAGCACTGATGTGCGTGTCGCTGACAGTGTCTGATTCTTGTCAAGACGGTACTCACACCAATGCCGGTCAGAAACATATGCATTGCCGTGTCCTTGAAGTCCAGGCTGCGGGCCAGCACAAAGAAAAAGGTGGCCACCAAGAAAATCAGCATATGATTTATGCTGTTCAACAGACTTTGTATCTGCAGCCAGGCGGCGGCTCCAGTATAGCCCTCTGCCATGATTCTGTGCTTAAATTAGTGGCGTGGGGCAACTAAAGAGTGACTAAATCCACGCAAAGGTGGCACGTCGCTTAAATGCAAAACAGAAAAAACTATTGAAGAGAGAGCTGGAACAATATAGTCGCCGTTTCGACTAGGGGATACCCTCTAACCAGTTTAATAGGGATAACAGTGCACACGCTAAGTATCTAAGCAAGGCTAATAATATTAATATACGATAGATAAAGTAGATAATAGCAAAAGCATAGGGAACTAAGATCCAAGCGGACATGCAGCAGTGATTATGAATAGCCATACGCACGAGCGAATATGCTCTACTGGTAATGGGTATAAAAAGAGCAGAAGAGAGATAAGCGTTAGGTGTGCGTGGCTCACAGTAAGAGAGAGAGAGAGAGAGTAAGGGAGCAGCTTGTTGCGCTCTCTCGTTCAAAGCACCGTAATGCTGACTTGGTAATTTTGTTTTTTGGTTCCTATTTTTAGACGAGGATCCTAACTTTCCGGCCAGCGAACTGAACACACATGGACCCACTGTGCACGGCTGGAGGAGCACGGTGGACGGCAACCTGACCACACACGACATAATTCTGCGTTTCCAGCAGCCGGCCAAGATTTATCGCATCCAACTCTTAGCCCACCAGTATCTCATACGTAAGTACAAAGTTCTCTTACTGAATACGGTTACTGATGAGATTATTCTCTTTCCGACGACAGCTGAGAAAGTTGAGCTTTGGCTGCACTATTCACCCAAGTCGTTGCCCAGCACACCGTCGTCGCAATACTTTGATTTCCTTGGCTTTGTGGCTCTGGCCGATAATGCCAACACAAACTACAAGTCCCGTGAGCTGCAGAGCGTTACCGTCACTCCAAGGCGGGGCACGCATCTGAAGCTGCGCCTCATCGGATCCCAAAGCAATGAGTACAACAGAACGGGGCAGATCTCCCTGCTGGCGGTCAATGTACTGGGCGAGGATCTGGACGTCGGCACTGGTAGCAATGGCAACGGCAATGGGAATGGCGAGGAGCACATTGTCAGCGAGGCCCCACCGCTGGACACGGCCACCGGGGAACTGGCGCTGGCCTCCATTTGTGATGACTTGCTCTTCTCCATGTACGTGGAGGAGTCCATTGTGAAGTACATCAGGGAACTGGAGCAGCGTAAAACGCTGGCGGTCAGCTCGGAACGATTTGAATACGCCCGGAAGCTGAAGCTCTGCATGACGGCACTGCGGACAGCGGGAGAGCGTTTGGGCCGATACTCGCTGGCCAAGCGGCAAGCGGTGCAGCAGGAGGACTTCACCACCGCCAGGCTAAGGAAGGAGCAGATGGAAATGTATCGAGCGTCTGTGCTGAGGCAGCTGCAGGTGCAGCAGCTCCTGGAGTCACAGGGCGTCCAGAGCTCGAATGATCAGAGCTGTGAGATCTATGCGGGAGGAAAGCCGAGCCTGCCACCAGCTCCAAGTCTCCAGGAAGTGGCCCACGCACTGGCCGAGGCGGCCCTAAGTCCAAAGAGCATTACCAGCCTGAGTCAGGACGATAAATCTTCGACAGATGGTTCTTTGGGACAGGCCAGCAATGAGAGTGTGGTGGTCGTGTCAGCTGCCCCAGTCCCAATCGCACCATCTGCCATCCATGCCACGCCCACACATACTGGTGGCTGGCGGAAGTCCCACGACGAGATACCCCAATCGCCGCGCCTACCATCGCGCCACAGTTCGCCCATGTGCAGCCGCCAGGGATCGCTGCGGCGACGCAACAAGAGTGTTCCTCGCAACTCATACGAGGACTACGAGGAGCGCGCCATACCTACATTGAGGCAGTGAGTCTAAATTTTTTTGAGGCAATAACTGTGCGTAGAAAAAGATTTAAACAAACAACTGTCAATAATTGAGTATTCATTTAGATATCTATCTGTGTTTTTCCACATACAGTGTTGCATGATAGACCATCGATGGTACAGTCGATAGTTGTAGTCATAGTTTGGTTGTTTGCCGACACTAACAAGCATTTTTCCGTAGCCCAACACTAACTGATCGTCGAATGTTTTGAAGTCTTTTGTTGATTGATTTTACTTTCTTTTTTTCTAACCCGTTAACCGTAACCGTAAACGTTGCCATTCCGTAAACACAAAACAAAAATCGTTAAGTTCAAATACCAATGAATTTTTAAGGGAGTGCCAAGGCAATGCCCTGCTGGAAGCGGATCCAAACCGGGGACGTTCGCGCCTCAACGATCGCGAACGTCGCCAGGCAGCCCTTCCCATTCTGGTCTTTGGCAGTGAGCTGGTAAGAATCCTCTTCGTTCACTTTGAATCAAATAAAACATTTACACAAAATGTATCGTGCAGGTGGAGCAATTCTATTCGCGGCAGTTTCAGGACCGGGAGGATGGCTTGATGCGACTGCGGAACTTTCTAAAAGAGCTCGAGGTGGTGGAAGTGGCCAGCAATGAGCACGCAGCCAGTCCCAATAAGGTGGCACGCAGTGCTGCCCTGCTGCTTCATCGAGCCGTGCGTGACGCCGTCTATTCCGTCTTCAGCCAGGCCACGGAGACGGTTCGCGTCCTGTTCCTGGAATATGTGCCAGGACGTGTCTCGCCCAGTGAGGTGGCCCGGTGTGTGGACCGCCTGCTGCCCGAGCTACTAGCCAAATCGGGCGATCCTTCGGCCCGCCTGCACACCCTGGCCCAGCACACCATACTCAGCATTGCCGCCTGTCCGGAAGTGGCCGAGCAGTGTCTGGTGGCTCCGGCACTCTCCCGCAGCGTGGGATCCGGCACCCATCAGCGTCTAGCCATGAGCCGTCTGCAAATGCTCGAGCAGCTGGTGCACACGCAGGGCATCAGCACCGACAAGCACAGTGGTCTGACCTGCCGGGCACTCTCGGAATGCGGATGTTCTGGTATCCACCATCCAGCCGAGCCCGTGCGCAAGGTGGCAGAACGCATACTTCTGCTGGTCTACAAGATCAATCCTCGCATGGTGCGCAAGCAGCTGCCCCCCGACGATGACATCACCCGTCGCAATCTCCTGTACAGACAACTGTTCACCGAATTCGATAAGCTGGATCTGGACCGCAAGCAGGAGCTGCTCGAGGCCAGCAAATACGTGGGGGAGCACAGTTCCGGAGATGCAGCCATGCCACCGGCAGACAAGCCCACAACCAGTTCGGATGCCTCGCGTCTGCTCAAAAGTAAGAGCGGCCAGGGCCTGGGCCTCGCTGCCAGTTCCAGCAACGGATATGCCAGTTGCAATGGAAAGCAGCAATACAACGAGCAGCTGAAACGTTCAATGCTATCCGCATCGAATTCTCGAAAGGGGTCTGCCTCCAATTCGGAATCCACCGAGGACAACACACCCAAGATGTACGTAAAGAGAGCTGCTGTTTGCCTGTTTTTATTGATAAATGTGATTCCTTTAGACATTGTCCTTTTTGTGACTGGTCGTGTGCTGGAAGTGATGCCACCCAGCTGGATCGACACTACTGGAAGGCCTGTCCCTTTCTCACCAAGTGCCCACAATGCAGTCAAGTGCTGGAGGTAGCCGCCCTCAACTATCACCTGACCAGTAAGCAAAACAATTATTATCCATCAGATTCAATGGCTTCATATTTATTTTATTACACAGCGGAATGCGATGCCAAGGAGAGCTATGTGGTCTGCGCCCGCTGTACGGAATCGGTGCACAAGCAGCTCTACGAGCTGCATCAGATGGAGGACTATTGTCGGGGTAGGCATGCGCAACCAAACCAGACCAGTCAATTCTGATCAATTAATTCTGATAATGTTTCGCTCTTTAGAACTGAAAACGGGCGCGGCACGCTGTCCACTCTGCCATGACGATGTGCACCTACCTCTGGATGGCGGCTGGAAGTTGCATCTCCTAAGCGCCGCCGGCTGTCCCGGGAATATACGCAAAAAGAATCCAAAGAAATCAAACTGAATCTAAGTCAATCTAATCGATTAATCGGCATATGTAGCGAATTTACTAGAAGCAACTATACTTATCCAGGATATGCGTATGATATATATGTATATCTAGGTGCATATACATATATACAACATTCCAGCTGCAATGACGTTAATTAAGCGTTAATTAAATCAATTTGTTTTACACTCTACATTCCTTTTAGACACATTTTGTTATGCGAATTAGTTAATTCAAGGATACGGATTAGTTTATGTGTAGTTTCTTTTGTATGTTTTTTACGCAATGTGATTTGTTAAGTATAACACGAATTTTCGAAACGTCCTTACAATAAATACAGCCAGCCCATCCAAACAGTTTTAAATCAAACATTTGAATTATTTATTTCGACTCTGCTACCCCATGGCTGGCGATTCGTGGGTGCGTGTGCTGCCCGCCATGCACTCCACCTGTCCGATTGGACAAGAAGTTCGCATCCAAACAATTTTAAATCTAACATTTGAATTTCTGAGCGATGAGAGGGCTGCAAAGCAACCTCCCAGCAGCCGTATTGGATTTTTCGCGAAAGATCTGACTTTCAGCAAGAGCAGCTTGGAAAACCTGAATTTTTACATTGATTAAGGGAAATAGGGAAAATATTTTTTGTTTTTGTTTTGTGTTTACATCATCGCATGGATGACCGGGCTTTAATCGCAGCTATGGATACTGGTGGCTGAGTCGTATGTGCAGGACATACTCTCGTATATTCATTTTTTTCCGTGTATCGACACGTGTCTTTAACACTTTTTTTGAGGTTATGTTTTTTACGACGGCGCAGCTATTTCCATGCTACCGGTTAACAAGCAACAAGTGTTCAAATGACGTAACATTTATTCCCACCTACGTTACATTTTATTCCCACTTACATTTTATAGTTTTATTTTTTGTTTACCATTTCGGTGCAAGCCTTATTTTAAAAAATAAAACAAAACAAAAAAATGAGTCATCAAAGCTAATCAATATTGTCGAAAATTTATTCATATTTCGAATAAAGTGGTATGATAAGTACAGAGATTCCTAGCTAGCTAGTAATATAGTAATATTAAATTGAAAATTAAAATAGTGGAATTTCCGATCATGGCTTAGCCCATTGTCGACCAGTGGGTATTTCAGTTTATGCTCGAATATTGCAAAATTTTTTCAGCATTTCAGCTGAAAGATATCTTGGTAAAACTTTTTTTTAAGTAAAAAGGAAACATAAATCTACTAGAATAATATACAACTAGTACTGTTTGGCGCGGTTTAACTAAAGGTGTTCAACTGTTTAAATAGAGCGGTACTTAGTGGGTTAAGTTCGTTCCACTGCATATTTGGCGGTATATTTTATCGGTCAATCTGCGGTCACACTGATCGGCGGCAACGTTTTGTTTGCAAATTTTTTTTGCAATAAAAAAAAAATAAATGCCAGCTGAATTAAAGCGCGCGCTATAATTATTTCGATCCATTTTCGTTCGGTGTGTGGTGCAAGTCTATACGAAAATGTGCTGAAAATCATTTAATTACCATCAGGCGCTGCTATTATCAAACCCCACTCCACTCTGCCGCTCCTCTGGGCGTCTTGGCTCGCGTGTTTTCCGCGTAGATTAAAATACTTTAGATTCCCGATTTGGTAGTACCCTGGCTGCACGTGCGTCACGCCACCCCAAGACCGACAACATGCACGAATTATTCAAGAGAATTATGGATTACAAATACCTGAGCCGGTCGCAAATCAATGGATTCGACAACTACAAGGTAGGTAGAAGAAGGATGGATCCAAACCAGTTCTTCATAGACCATCTATTTATAGTTGAATGGTGTATACCTGATGAACATACAGATGTAATATCATTCTCATTTACCATTTCTGTACGTGTCTTGTACTTCTTGTATTTCTTACAGTACAGCGCCATAGACACCTCCCCGCTGAGCCAATATGTAATGCATCCATTCTGGAATTGGCTGGTCAAGGTTTGTGGACACTGCTTAAATACAACAACAAAAAATCAATAATTTTAATCGTGAAATGTCCCTCGACGACGGCCCATTTCAGTTCTTCCCGCGTTGGTTCGCGCCCAATTTGATGACGTTCCTGGGCTTCCTGTTCAGTGCGATGAATCTGGTGCTGCTCTCCTACTACGATTGGAATTTCGAGGCCAGCTCGGGGGAGGAGAACACCAGCCCGATACCCTCGTGGGTCTGGCTGTGCACGGGAGTGAACATCTTTCTCGCCTACACGCTGGACGGCATCGATGGCAAGCAGGCGCGACGCATCGGTCTGTCTGGGCCACTGGGCGAACTCTTTGATCATGGCCTGGACTCGTACACAGCTATGCTGATACCCACATGCCTCTACAGTATATTCGGTCGGAGCAGGGTCTATTCGGTGCGACCGATGCGCATGTACTATGTCTGCCTGACGGTCTACTTTAACTTCTTTGTGTCCCACTGGGAGAAGTACAATACGGGCATATTGTATCTGCCCTGGGGCTACGACCTCAGCATGTGGGGCAGCACTGCCATGTACTTGGTCACCTGGTGGTTGGGCTTCGAGCGTTGGAAGTTCGAGCTGTCGCTGGGCTCCTACGGCACCCTGCCGTTGGGCAATGTCATGGAGGCCGTACTCCATGTGAGTGCCATGGCCAATCTCCCACTCGTCATCATCAACGTCTACAAGTGAGTCAAACCGGAAATCATCTATTGGGCATTTAGCTAATCCCGTTTTTATGCACAGCTCCTATGCCCAACGCACAGGCCGCCTGTTGTCCCCATGGGAAGCAATTCGTCCCATGTGGCCATTTGTCTCATACTTCATTATCCTGCTGCTCTGGCCCTACATCTCGCCCAACAACATCATGGAGACGGATCCGCGAGCCGTATTCATGCTCAGCGGCACCATCTTCTCGAATGTCAGCGTAAGTCATGCCGCCCTCGCCTCTTATCGAACTGTGTCGCGTGTGCGTTGAATCATTTAGATAAGCGACTTGACGGGTGTGTCAACCAGTCACTGGGAGCCGAGGCCCATTGTGTTTACTGTCAACACAGAGGGACAGAGCTTTGCTTTAATGAGCCATTTGACTCGATAAAAACACGAAAAACAAAAACTATTTCTAATGCCGCCGCCCTTCTGTTGCGGTGGTCGGCGCTGTGCCCAGGATGCTGCACAAAAGGACGAGCTGCTGGACGGTGTGGCAGACAAAACAAAAGATAAAATAAACGTGACGGCCTCCGACTATGAGCGTCCGTTGACCCTCAAGTTCTATGCGCGTCACGATTGGCCATATTTCAACTGCACTCCGGAGGAGATTCAGCAAATGCGCGAGAAACTCGATCCGGAGTCATTGAAGATAACTGCCAGACTGTCGGAAGCCCAGAGCCAAAGCAGCACCGAGGTCCTTGTGCGCACCCAGAAAGTGGAGCATGCCACGGCACAGCCCATGACGGTCAATCAAATCTATGGCTGGTATCAGGATCGTGCTCAGCGTTACCTCAAGCAGGATCGCGGCGTCTTCGTCTTTCCACACGAGAACGATCCCCTGATACAGCAGATTCTACGCGACAAAATGAATAAATCTCGTTAATGCTGCACAACTAACAACAAAAACAACACACACAAAACACACAAAAACACGAATTAACACAACAAATTTAAGTCTGTTTAATGAACAATTATTATAAGAAATTAGCTGCCACCCAAACAGGGCCAAAACATATTTGTTCATTGGTTTTTCACACTCTCACTCTTAATTACAGTGCCGCTTGATTGTCTCACAAATGTCGGTGACGCGCTGCGAGGCCTGGCACTGGCAGACACCCATGTTTGCCTTCTCCCTGCTGCTGAGCATGTGGATACCGCTGCTGGAGAGGCCGCTGCTCTACCTGCTGCTGATCGCCACCACCCTGACCCATTGGCACTACGGCGCCAGCGTAGTCAACCAAATGTGCGATCACTTCAATCGCGTCTGCTTCACCGTGAACAAACGGCTGCCGCAAGAGGAATTCCTGAAACGGAAACTGGAAACGGAGCCAAAGCTGCAGCTGACACCTGAAGAGCCACTCAAGAAGGAGGATTAGTCGTCGGCTTCCTATGCGCGTGCTTATGTCAATATTGTTTTGCTCATTTTGTTTTCGGTCAAGAGTTCTTTTGCATGTTCTTCTGTCATTCGTCATGGAGGCTGTTTAGTTAAATGATTTTTATGAGATTATTTGTACTTTTTCATAGTTAGAATTTAATTTTAAAAATGGGCATAATGCCAGTGTATTATCCTAATGGTTGGCGCTTGTTTTTGGCTTTTTATTCAGCAATTATTTGTGCTCTCTGCTGTAATGCTCTCTTCCAAAAATCCCACAATTCACGTAGGGCAGACAGTTTTAGCTTTAATCCACACATAACTAGACCTTATTTGGACTAATCGCTAATTGCCCGTCATAGATTAATTATATCCACTAGTAATCCATGACAAGTGGTCTAATCGGCTGATAAGATTTGACCCAAAACATATTTGATAAGCCATACAAATTCCAGTGCATTAAGTCCACTAATCAATACCTTAAAGCAACAACGACCGACCACAGACCGACCAGTATACAACATCATCTAGGTTAGAAATTTATAATTATTTTATATTTCACATTTACCTACTACTTAAGATCTAATTTCAAACATAAACAAAACGAAAACGAAAAACTATGTAAATTTAAAGCTCGCTTACTTAGGCCTCCGATATGTCCAGCGTTTTGTTTTTATTCGTCTAGACATAATCGAATAACTTCTATGTGCTATGCTTAATTTATTTGCATTGTATTATTTTGTAATTGTTCTACATAGAAGCAGACACAGACAACACGCAACACAACACAAGACAACACAACACAGCAATACTATGTGTAATATTTCTAACAACAAATAACCGCAAAGACCTCTAATTATTTAGACAAACAAAGGTATTTATTATTCTTAAAACAAACCTCAATGTCATTCAACTGTAATGTGACGTCGTCCATAGCGCCACAGCACGCTTATTGTATGAAACGAACACCCACACCACCCACCACACACCACCACCACCTCACCACACCCCTTCTGACACATTGTGTGTGTGTGTGTAAAAGACAAAGAAAGTAAACAAAATAAAATACAATATTTTGAAAATATCCCAAGCATCATTCTGAGATTGTGCTCGCTCGGGCAATGATAAATGCATGCACGAGTTTATATCTATATTCCAGATCGCAGAGCTAACAATTTGAGAGGTTTCAATACCCCCGGCAATGTGATCATGCCTTAGCGGAATGCTCTTTTCAAATGGATATGCGAGCCAACTAAATAGGAGCGTGGAGAGCTGGGTAAGGAATAGCCTTAAAAATTCTGTAACTGGCAGGTATTAAAATTTGAACGTAGCTATGTGCATGCTAAGCATTTATGTTCAATGAATCACAGTGTTTTGAGCTGGCAGTTGATTTGGCGACACAGTTTAGTTTCTAGACAAAATCTAAATCTAAACTAAATTAGTTGGCCCCAGAACATGTGCATATTTAAGTGTATAAATTGCTAGTCTAGTGATCCATCAGATTGCATTTAAACAGTGCAGACATCGACCAGCCGGGTATCCTCGGATCCAGCACGTTCTCTCTGGGTGTTAGTGCATGAACTCGAAGCTTGACGCAGTTAAATATGTATGTCTGTGTATTTATTTATTTGTATTTTCCATAAAGCTCACTTTTTGTTGTTAATAGAAGCCCCACGTTCGGCTGGAAATGAATTTAAATTTGCTCAGCTGACAGCAAGTTTTGAGTACGTGCTTTGGCTATTAGCCGAAGCTTCGAACGGGAGAATGCTTCCTCATTAGCTAATTGGCGTGAAAATTGAATGCCCGTCCCACTGTGCCAGTCGAGCTGGTGAGAACCAAGAAGACAAGACGCCTCGCCCGCACGGCTGACCGCTGGCCAATATCAATAAACAGAGAGCTCCCAAGTCACGCAGCCGAAATGGGCACGGCACAACAAAAAGAAACAAGGAATAAGTAAGTAAGTAAGTAAGTAAGTGGAATGGACTGGACAAAAGCAAACATCAGTTCGAGAATCGAGCGAGAGAAGAAAGCCAGCAGCAGCAGCAGCGGCAGCAGCAGCAGCGAAGTCGGCAGAGCCAGATATGAAAGTTGCGCCTGCGCGAACGGAGATACAACGTCGAAGCGCTGCCCAGCGATCGTTGAATCAGTTGCGAGGCAGAAGCGCGAGAGTTAAGAACGTGAGACGGAACCCAACCAGGCATAGAATCGCATCAACCACATCCCAAGATGATCTGGAAGACTTTCACGCCGCTGCTGCTGCTGCTGCTGCTGGCAGCGACCACAGCTGCGTCCCACTTAGCCTCCAGCACCACAGAGCGGCTGTCGCCCACCACCACCGTCGGTGTGGCGGAGCAGAGCACTCTGATCAAGGAAGAAGAATTTCCGGCCATGGCACCTGCCCAGGCAGTGGAGTCGTCCCAGCCGATTCTGCTGCAGCCGCCACCGATTTCCGGCGCCAGTGGGGCCGATGAGGCACTGCGTCGTCGCACTGTCACCTACGACCAGCGACAGGAGGGGCAGTACAACATTCGGGCCGATCTGGAGAATTTCATGATCCTGCTGATACCGCCCGGACCGCAGGACGGCCTCAGTCTGCTGGACATCCTCAGCCGTGGGGCAGCGACCAAGAACGGCAATCGCAAGAGCCCACAGCGCAGTCCCTCGCTGAAGTCATTCTACCAGAGAAACCAGCTCCAGAGGCTGCAGCAGCAGCAGCAACAGCAACAGCAGCTGCAGCAGCCTGTGGTGGCCCTGCCCGAATACATTGAGGGACGCACGCCCTACCACGTGGACATCTCGGCCAGTGACACCGAGCAGGCGCAGCGACTGCAGCGCCAGCAGGTGGATGTGCTGCCGCCGCAACTGATACAAATGCCGCAGCTCATCAAGCCCTTCCACCTGGAGGCGGAGCCCGAGCTGATCCAAGCGCTGCCGCCGGTGCCGGCCACGAGCAGTGCTGCAGGATCGAAGCTACTCGACAGCTACAATCAGCCGGGATCCCATTACTTTCGCAACTCGCGCGCCCTGAGGGGCGACAACTACCTGGAGACGAACCGACTGGCTGCTGGCGGCGGCGAGTACGCCCCGGCACCGCATCCACGCTCCATCAGCGTGCCCATCTATCGGGGCGAGCTGAGCGGCCAGGCCAATGCCCTGTATCCGCCCATCGATGCCCCGGCCTATGTCCTGAACGAAGCGCGCGGCTGGCAGCTGGATGACGAGCCCACCCAGTTGCAGCCAAAGCATTTGCTGCAAACGGACATCATCAGCTTCGATCTGCTCTCCGATGATCTGGCCGACTCCAAGACCCTGCTCAGGGACGGGCTGGCCCGCTGTGCCCGCGGCGAGAGGCGCGACAGCTACGGCGCGTGTCGCCAAATCGAGGGCTACTGACGCGACACGCGTACGAGAGCTTCCAGACTGCTGCTAAACGAAAGCCTAAATATTAGTTTTATTAGATTAAATACAGTACACACCACACATACATTTTGCACACTCTAGAACTAAGCTGAGCTGAGCCGAGCCTATTACTATTATCTAACAAATAAATAAATGCGAAAAACCCAGTTATCCCCGAGCTTCATAATGATGGGGGAAATGCGGAAGTGCTGGGCACCCGTCTAACGGTTCACTGATGATGCGCCGAAGGATAAGTCTAGATATAATCTTGACAGCCCAGAGCCAGGGGACAGGCACAGGCACAGGAGGCCGTGCAAATAGCAATTACCCAGAGACAAAGGCCAGCCAACAAAGTCCATAATTTTTGCAGGTTTTTGTTGTTGTTGTTGTTGCAGTTTCTATTCGAAACCAGTTTGCAGTTAGAAAGACTGCTAGCCAGCCTCTACACAGCCGCCTCTTCCTGTGGGTAGCGCAGCGGCAGTGCATTCTCCTGAGATTGATGATTGGTCATTGAACCTGGCTATCCAGACGGACGACACACCTGATCACACACACAACAGTGTGTGTTAGCCGCCGCTAACTGGAAGAGTCAACAAACAAACATATATTACATCCCATCAATTAGTATATTTTCGATTTTCGACTTGATGATTTACGATTTCTACAGCCGAAACGAGGTTATTGGGTTAGCTGCTGCTTTCAGAATGAACCCATTTGGGTTGGGCTCTGAAATGTGATACATGCGAGAGATCTAGCGTCTAAGGTGCATGAATCGCTTTCCCATCTGGCGGCAAGGAAGCATTAAATGTGCATCCAAGCCTCAGTGCATACAGTTCCCACAGTTCCCTTGCAATGCGGAAGTCTTTGGGTCTGGTCTGGTCTGGTCGACGGACATTGAACTGTGTCCAGAAATCGGGTTTTTTTTATTCTTCCCAGCATCCCAGCATCTATCGGTGGATCGGTCCATGGTCCATGGTCCAGGCTCATGCTGTTCTATGTGGTGGAACCACGACTCATTCGTCGCACGCTGTCAGAGCACAACGGTCCTGTCTGCGCTGTACGAGTACGGAATTCGAGTTCTCCAGTATGTGCAAATTTACCAATCGCTTGTTCGTCTTTGCCCTGCTGCTGCTGGCTCTGGGCGAGGTGCTGCTGGCACTGCCCGCATTGGCCAAGGGTCGTCCCCCCGGTAGCACACGAAATGTGGTCAACGATCTGCTGGAGTTCTTGTATGACGACTACACTGATAACGAATTTCAACGGGAGGATATCTACTATGATCAGCGGCAGAAGGGACTCGAAAATTTGCAGTTGAATATGGATGGTCTCGTCGTAGCTGCGGCACCCGAGACGACTCTTCACTCGCTGTATTTGATGGCCGAGCAGTATTTCCGTAGGAATTTCCCAAATGTTTCTCACAAAATTAATTTAATTTCGATTTAACTTGCAGGCATGGGCGAAACGCTTCGCAATTTTACTCCAGATCCAGACGAAACTCAATTGTACGAAAAGGATCATATCAGAGAGCCAGAATCCACCGCTACAGAGGACCATACCATAATTCCAGATCCAAAAACTGACATCGAAAGCAGACAGCAGCAAATTGTGGCACCACAAAACGCTAGCCGGTACATATCTAAAACCAAATCAATTTACATCAGTAAATAATATTTATTTTTTTTCATGCTGATTTCAGTCGCCAATCTCAATTGCTGGAATTGCTGAAGAAGCTTAAAAGCAGAAAGATCTAAAGTTATTCTGAATCTATAATTATACATTTATAAAAAATAGTTTTGGAATATTTTGATTTTTAAATAAACTTTTAAATCAACGGAAATAATAATTTTTTACCAGAAATTGGGCAACGATTTTTATTTTTATTATTCATTTTCGCATTTTGACAAAAACAGTTATAAAATTCGAAAATTGAGTGGCGCTAACTACATGACATTCTACATGACTTTTACATGTAATTTTGCAAGATGTGACGTGACTGAAGATTTTTGACACTTTCGATAGGCAAACTATTTTTATTTTCGTCATGGAGTGTTCACCTTTTTTGCTTAAATCCTTTTGTAGTAAAAATCAAATACCATTTTAGAACATTGATTGATCAATCGGATAAAATTATGTGTGTAGTGCTGAGAGTCAGAGCTAGCTAGTAATATTAAACACATTTCAAATTGACCGCCAAACTCAATTTAGCGCACCAAAAATACTGACATTTTTCGCTCTCAATTCGTGGAGAGTTTGCAAAACTAGCTCTCAATTCGTGGAGGGTTTTCAAAATTTGCTCTCAATTCGTGGAGAGTGCTCTCTTTTCAGTGGAGAATAGAGTGTTTTTGTGGAGACTTTCCCTTCATTTTCGTTGTGTGAGCAACATGTTGCTGAAATTTTTCCCATACAAAATCAGATGTATCTTACGGGAACGCGTATGGAATAAAGATTCATTGTTGCGTCATTTCATACGCGTTCCCGTATGAATATCAAAATTGACGAATTTCATATCACAAAATATCACGGTATGGCAGCCCGCAGCAACTACGAATTGCACGAGTCTGGCAACGCCACAAAACGACGACAAATTCGTTTTATGCTGTTTTTGTTTGAACCTTAATATGTAAATAATCCAATAAAAAGGACTTTTGAAAACTTGCCAATCTCTTAAAAAATGTATGTATCTATCGGATAAAATTATTTGTTTAGGGCTGAGAGTCCCAGCTAGCTGGTAATATTAAACGGAATATCAATATCGAGGAATATCAACGTTTCTTGTCGTGTCCGTCAGTATATTTACGGTATATTTTGAAAATGTCACGGTATATTTCGGTATATTTCCGATGGTCAGACGGTACATATATGTTTTCGATAAATCCGCGGAAGACCAGCTTTGGCATTACTTTACAATTTTTAAATAACAACTCCACATCAGAGGCGTGAATTGCAAAAATTTTGGGCCCCGAACCATCAAGAACATTCCAAGCCAGTATAAAAGTCGCTCGCCGAACTACTTTTTAATACAATCGAACCACTGAGCAACTACGACGCAGTTGGACGTGCACCAAAAATAAAAACTCGACGCAGCAGCTACCTGTACGAAATAAAACAATAATAAACTGATAACTAAATTAACAGTTTGTCAAACGTAGATAAAAATAGTTTGAAAATGCCCGAGAAATTGCTGAAAATCACCTATCAGGGCCCAGACGTGGCTGGACCCCAAAAGAAGCTGAATGCATACTTGAGAATGCCTTCACAGAATTTCAACATATTGCGTCGCGAAATTGAGATGTATCTGTTCCAGGAGCGCCAGCTGGCCAGGTGTGAGATCAGGACCTTCTGGATTGGTGAGTGCAGTGCTGTTACATAATGCAATTGCATCGAGTTCGATGAAATGCAGCTAATTTGCATTGAGGGCACAGACACAGGCCACAGATCGAAACTTGCAAATGGACAAAGCAAATGCATATTGCTCAATGTAATTGCAACCGATACGGTGGCAGTGTTGACAGTTTAGCCATTAATGCTAGCTGTTTTATCCATACTAAAATTCGGCCACTCGGCCATTCGCCAATGTGAATCACCTAGAAAAAAACCTTTGATAAGAAAAAAACAAAAATATATAGATATTTGTATGACTCATAATTATTTTGCTATTAATTCCTTTGCACCCAGATCACGACCACGATGAAATCGAAATTGTCAATCAAAATGATTACGAAGTATTCCTGGCCAAACGCGAGGAGAAAATGCATCTGCAGATTGCACCGCTTGTCCCTGTGGTGGAGGAGTCGCAGAAGGCTAGGGCCGAGGCTGCCGCCACGGCTGCTCCTCCCTCTGCCGATGACCCGAGCAATTTCGTCATCCATGACGCCGTTGAGTGTGACGGCTGTGGCTTGTCGCCATTGGTTGGATTCCGCTACAAGTGTGTCCAATGCCCGAACTTTGACCTTTGCCAACGCTGTGAGGCAGCTCACAAGCATCCAGATCACTTGATGGTCCGCATGCCCACCAATAACGGGCCCAGTGTGGTGGAGGCTTGGATAAGTGGCGCGAATAAATGTGGCCGGCGCTCGGGCCACCGCTTCCGCGGGCACTGCCCGTTCGGAGAGGCTGCTCAGGCAGCAGCAGCTGCTCCAGCAGCAACAGCTGAATCGCCCAGGGAGGGTCGCCGCGAGCGTCGACATGCCCGGCGCCATGGCAACGTATTGTCCCAGTTTGTGGACATGATGATCAACATGCCGGAGAACAACACTCCAGCCACTTGTGCGTCTCCAGCACAACAGCCCAAGGAGAAGGAGCCAACAAAGGCTCCTTCTACTGTGGAGCCCACAGCAACGGCCCAAAAGGCAACCGAGACCGAATCAAAGCCAACCGAAAACAAGCAGACCAACACTGCTGCTCCAACTAAGACCGAAGAGCCAGTGGCTGCTCCACGCACTAAGGAGTCAGAGCCATCCGAGGCCCAGGCCCAGGCTAGCACTCCCACTACTCCAGTTATTAATCTGGAAAGTCTTTCGCAGATGGTGCCACCTGAGTACATGCGTGCCGGCATTGAAATCTTGAACAATTTCAGCGAAATGTTTGCCAAGATGATTGATCCCACTGAGTCGCCAAATTCTGGTAGCTATGCAGCTTCGACAGCTTCATCCACTGAGGCCGGGAAACCAGCCTCGACAGCTTCATCCACTGAGGCAAAGAAACCAGAACCAGAGCCAGCAACCAAGCAGGCTGAATCAGCCAACCGATCGACAGCAGCCTCTTCTGTCTCGTCGTCAGGTCTGGCTTCCCTTGAAACAGAACCCTTGTTGCCCAAGCCAACTGACAGTCCAGTGGCCGCCGAGCCGGTGAGGGAGCGCCGCTCAGATAGCTTGGATCCCGACTGGCAAGTGATTGATTCGCTAATCACTCTGGACCCACAGGAGCCCACAGTTGCTCCACAGGGGCCTGTGCGCGATTTCGGTCAGTTGGGGGAGCTCCTGCGTCAGCATATGCAAGAGGAAGAGCAACGCGAGCAGGCCACAGTCAACACCCAGACTTCCCAGGTTGATACAGTGAGCACTTCGACTTCCACATCGGTTCCCACCAATAGCATCGGCACCTCTCCAGCAGCCCCTACTGCCCCCGAAGAGAAGCGTACTCCGATAGTCTATCATAACGGTAAGTCTACAAAGGAATATAAATTCATATATAATATAAATATAATCCCTATTCATTCCTATTTTGTTGCTTAGATGAACGCATCAACGACTCCATACACGCCATGATGGCCATGGGATTCAGCAATGAGGGCGCCTGGTTGACCCAGCTACTGGAGTCGGTCCAGGGCAATATACCAGCTGCTCTTGACATTATGCACAATTCGCAGAGTCGCAACTAAATATATATTTTAAATAAACGTAAATATATTAATTATACTCGTATATATATATTCAATAACTGTAGCATCCATTCAAAAATGTAGTTATAGGATTTGATCCTTTGGTGATTGATTAACAGCGTTAAAAGCAACAACAACAATATGTAGAAAATTTTATGTATTTTATCTCTCAAATAATCAAAAGTATATTATCACATGCAGCTCTGTATAATTATGTCAAATACCATTAAAGGCACAACAAATAAACAACAAAATATTTAATCTTGAGAGATTTTTATAGAAGTAATTATTATGCATTTCCTGATGATATCCAATTCTAGTTCTACATATTCTATCTAATTGTTTTCATACTTTCTAGGGCAGTTATAAATTTCCTAATGCACTTAAAGATCTTCTCTGGTTTGTACTGGCTCTGCTGCGAAGAGACTATTCGATATCAGTACAAAGATATCACGCAGAAATCTTCGCAATTCGTAGTTTGAGGTAGTTATGGTGGCAATAAATGTAAAGAATTTGAACAGTTTCTGGTGGTGGGCTTTCCATTGGCGCCGCCCGAAGCCCGTATTGTAGCCGAACATTTGCGAGACCATCAGTGCGAGGAAGCCAGTGAGGCCGAAGAAACGATGAAGGAATTTCAAGCTGACGCTACTGCTGCCGATGAAATACAGAGGGAGACCGCTTAGCACGCTGCCCAGCAGCAAACCACAGCCGACTATGCCTGGGGGAGAGAATAAATTAAACATTGCTACACGAGTTGCGGGCGAGTGCAGATGAACTTACCAAAGAAGCCGTGATTGCTGCGGAAGTGCCGTACCGTAGCGTTGGGATCTTCTCGTTTCCGTTCCAGCTTCTGCCATGTCTTGATGGCAATACCTCCGACGCCGACCAGGAACGCCAGCAGCCCCAGCGCCGCATGCACGCGATTCAAGTTGGTCGATCCGATCCATGCCTCCAGACTCCTGCTGTTTCTCACCAGCAAAGCCTCGCCCATGAAGAACACAAACTGTAGGTGGGATGGGCATGCTTTTATAGGAATATGTACCCGATCCAAGCTCCAATATACTCACAGCAATTGTGCAGTAGAAAGCATGTCCTGCCGTGTGCGCCAGCTTCAGTACCAAACACTTGTAGACGATGGCCACGGTGATCCCAGTAAGAAGAACGTGCGAGATGAGGGTGCAGAAGCTAAAGTAATATCCTGCGTAGCTACTGGAACCATTCTGCTGATCCGCAGTCTCGCAGACATCGCCCAGACAGCCTTGTAATTCTTTGATGGTCATGTTGTTGATATTTGTCCTTATCTGGTACGTGAGATGCGCACGTTCGGGTGATAAGTTGAGTGGCACTGGGCACTATAAACTGATGGCAAGGCAACTGGTGGCGTCTGCTCGCTTTGGATGTTAGGCAGCGTTTGACTCGTTCATGCCACGAAACAGCTGGAAAAAGCGATCAGCGATCGCTCGCTGTTCTCTCAGAGAGTTCAGAATTTGCGAGAAAACCAAAAAAAGTGAATTACACTTTCAAAACAAGTGGAGCGCGGTGTTTCCATGGTGAGTCAGCTGTTCGTTCACGTGCTTTACCTTGGCGCGTAAAAGGTGGCAGCAGCAGCAGCAGCCAGGTGTGGTGTTGCTCCGGCTGTGCTGTGATTATTGCGATTATTGTTATTTTCGGAGCATTCTAAAACCAGTTTGTTTAATTAGCCCTGCCAAATGTCCGGTATTATTCATGCAAAACTTTCCAACTTGACCATCAATAAGCTCTCTGACAACATACTCTTCTCATAAGTAGAAATAATAGTTTGGGTCCAACCCAAGAAACTGTCCAAAACGAGAAACGAGTGTTGTGAAATGGCGGCCCAAAGAAATGGCCTGATAAATGTTGTTGTTGGAGCAACAACTTGTGGATTTGTTTGTGTGTGGAATTGGCATTGTTTCTGTGGAGATAATAGCTCTAAATATGTACATGCACAAGTACTATGTACTGTTTGGGTGCGCGATAACCCATGTTTATTGAATAGGAGTCCCCTGCTCTTACAACTTTACATACATATCACTCTGCGATCTGGGACCGCTTCTATTTACATATTTACAAACATGTTGGTGCAAGTCCAACAAGGTAACAGTTATACAAGCAGATTATCTGTCCCACCGGGCGGGGGGGTTCACCAAACAATAAACCGGTTTAGCGAATCTTCTTTAGATATGTATATCTTTTGTTTATTAGTCATTCTGTCTATATACTTTTCTCTTTTGCAAGGAAATGTGAAATACACGCAGATGGATGACGTCATTCTTTGGCCCAAAGAGAGAGAGAGAGAGAGAGAGAGAGAGAGCGATACAAAACAACAACAGCTGACGCAGCTGAGAGAGGTAAATAGAGAGAGCGAGAGAGAGTTTGATATATTTATAAGTGCCATGGCAAAACCGTTGTACGCTGTATTTCCCATCGGTACGCCGGCTTCGTTGGTGTTTGTTGCTAATAAATAATTTAAACAAAGCGAGACGACCCACCCACCAATTAATCACACTTTGATTTTGGGTTTTTCCAAATATTAAGAGCCAAAACAAACTACAAAATATCTGTTGTTCGGCGAAAACTCAGGAATTCTCAGGAATTCCCCCCCGAAACTCTAACAACACATTGTACGTAAATGTAATAATGACTTTTAGCCATATTCAAAGTGTCGAACCGTGTCCATTAGGCTAATCGAAGGGAAATTTGATAAAAAAAACTAACTAAAAGCACGAAGCGACAGTTATTAGAGACAATTAAAGTGCTAATAACTGAAAAAAACAAAGATGAAATATATAATTTCAGAGATACATATGTATATGGTTTAGCCATGTACATTAATTAATTTGGGTTTCGCATGACTAAAGTTCTGTGACCAACACCTGCCATATCGCACTTCAAATTCATTCATACAAAAATCAGATAAATCAGGGACAAACCCTTCATGTGTTCTGTGTAGTATACATATAATTTGTTCTATAAACTTGCAAAATGTTTTGTGGCTAGTATGACATCATTAATAGTTCAATTATTACTTGCTATGACGAAATATACCACAAGTTCCAGTTAAATATTTATTTTTCCAATTTCTATCTATAAATTCATACCAAAAAATGTACATGATAACATTCTAGTTGGCTAGTCCAACCTTAAACATATTCAAGCTACGATTGCCGGCGTTTTTTTGTTGTTTATATTGTTATTATTATTTCTGGTTTTGTTTGTTTGTCTCGTCTGAACTTATCATCGATTTGCTAATAGATCTATACATACAGAATACATGTGCAGTACCTTATGTACATTGAGTCCCTCACACAGGCTCAAATTTATTTGCTTATAATTTGTATCAGTATTTATATTTTTGTATGACTCGCGCCACTGTCCACGTCCACGTCCACATCGGCGCTGGCGCTGGCGTTGGCGTCGTCAGGCTCGGCTTTGAATCTGTTGGTTTTTCGATGCTATAACAAATCTGTGAGGCTTCCCACTGAACCAGTCTCAGCTCAGCTCTGAGACCCGTCGGTTGTATCCGCGCTTGGCAATATTTATTCACAATAATCGAATACAGCACCCCCGCCCACCCGTTCAAAGTGTTTCCCACCTTGTAATTTTATTTTTATTTTTATTTTGCTCTTCCCTGTCTGTCCCACCTTTCGGACGCGCCGCCACACACACAAAATGCGTCGCGCAGACGCTTTTGCTGTGACCGTTTGTGCGAGTCTCCTCGCGCTGCTGCAGATGATGGAACCGGTCAAATGCGAGGGGTAAGTTCAGTCCATTTTCGATCGGTCACAATACGTGATAACTTAATAAATATGTATATGGGCAGGTAGGGCATCATTAAATTAGGTTTCAAGGCAAATAAGTTATATGGTGTGTGCTTGTCTATATTCAATACATTCATACATTTATACATATGTACATATATTTATTTAGTACATAGTTCGCGTTGTTAGTTACTATATTACGAGCGCAAAGCAGTATATTTGTTAATTTATTGCCATTTTGCCCTTGGGTCATTAAAAGGACACTATTGCAATTTTAATTCGATTTTTTTCCATTCATATTGAGAAGTAGTTAATGAAGTATGGGATTTGTTTAGCCATAAATATATGTACATATCTATCCTAATGTTAGTCATTTTTTTTTAAGCAAAAACTTGTGTTGCTAATTGAGTTTTTAAGTAAACCACAATTTTTTTTTTATATTGCTTTTTTGTTTTTAAGTCAACTCACACATCTCGCTTCTTTTGTTTGATCTAATGGGGTTTTTTTTGTTGCTAATTTACAACTCATTAATCATCAGGTCTCACGATCATACGATTCTCTATCAAGACCAGCTAGATAATTACTAATAATTGGAAGGTTTAATATGCAATACGATAAACCTGCCGCCCGTCAATCTTGAATGTAATTTAATTAAAACTAAGCAAAACCCAAACAATGGGAATATTCAGTGATAACTGAGGCTATCAAGTAGTTCATTTTAATTTTTTGGGCTTTGTAAGTGCTAAAAAATATTATAAACAGCTCGCAAACAAATTGTTTGTATAATTATAAAGCCATCCGGTTTTGGCGGATCAGGTTCTGGAAACACTTACCGTTATCTCCAGTAGTCTAATTAAATTCATGTATAAATATACACACACATACATATGTACATGCATATGTATATATTTTATTTTTTTTTTGGTGTTGCGACACAAAAACAAAAAAAAAACCCATCTCAGAATTCGATGATAATTCCGGAGAATTGATAATACAGAGGTTAACGGAGGGGGGCTAATCAGGAAACATAGTTCACGGCTCCAGCCCACATAAACATTAAATATTGAAATGTTTACCAATAAAAAACCCATACCCATAGTTAACGTTTCGATTCTTGGATTGCAGCAAGTACACCATTGTGGGACCTGGAACCATACACTCGCATCGCGATTACAATGTGGCCGTGGCCGTGCATCAGACCGCGGAGCCGGTGACCCTCAAGATTGGCATCACAGGACCCTCGTTCAACGAGACCCAAACGGTGGAGCTTGCCAAGTCGGATGAGTTCAAGCAGATAACCTTCAAGCTGCCGCCCCTGGAGACGGGCGACTACAATCTGACGGCCGAGGGCATATCGGGCCTGAAATTTGTGAACACAACAAAGCTCAACTACGATGACTTCAAGCCGTACATTAAGATACAAACCGATAAGGGAAAGTACAAGCCCGGCGACACCATCAACTATCGCGTCATCTTCCTGGACGAGAACCTGCGACCGGAGACGGCCGATGACAATGTCGTTGTGTGGTTCGAGGACACCAAAAGCAACCGCATCAAGCAGGAGAAGCACATCAAGACCACCAGTGGAGTCTACACCGGAAAGTTTGAGCTCTCCGAGTTTGCCACGCTGGGCACCTGGACACTTCTGGTGCAGAATGGCGAATCCCAGCAGGGCCGCTCATCCTCATTCTATCCTGGCGGACGACCCTTTGGCCACTGGCGTCGTTCCGATGAGCGTGTCTCCTTTGAGGTGGAGAAATATGTGCTGCCCAAGTACACCGTCAAAATGGATGCCACGCAGCAGGTGTCCGTCCGAGATGGTGACATGAACGTAGTGCTGAAGGCCAAGTAAGTAGAGCCCCTGGTCGATCCATACTCCGAGAATAATCCCTCAATTAATTGTTGTCTGCAGCTATACGTATGGCAAGCCCGTCAATGGCAAGGTCTTGGTGAATGTGTACATGGATGAGACCAGTTCATGGGAGAATGTGGATGGCAAATCGGTGCGCACTGATTTCCCCGGCCACTCGGTAATTGGCATTGCGGACATGGTCAATGGCAAGGCCAAGTTGGACTTTAATCTGAAGGAGTTTGCCAGCTATTTGCCACACAAAACGTCGTCAACGTATGCCCAGATTACGGCCACTGTCGAGGAGGATTTTACGGGCGTGAAACTCAACGAAACTGGTGGCGTCCAGCTGTATCCGTATCGCTATGAGATGTCCTGCACGGACTTTTCCTCCTGCTATTCGTTCAAGCCCGACAAGGAGCAGGAGCTTGTCTTTAAGATAACCCTGGTCGATGGCACACTGCTGACAGACACCAAGTCGGTGGTCAAGGTGAGCAGAGTACAGCCCAAAAAGGCATCTTCTTACTGGCTTATTTATGCAGCTTATTCTGCTTGCAGGCAAAGTTCACCGAAGGCATACGTCATACCTATGGCTTCTATCACTATGGCAGCGAGGAGAAGCAGCCCGAACTGCCGAAGATTGAGAAGAAAACGTTCGAGTTCGAGAGCCATTTGAATGCGTCGAGTCTGGTGCCATTCAAGATCACGCTGCCCGATCTGCCGGACATGGAGAACTATACGCGCTACTACAGCATTGAGCTGGCGTATGCCGATGAGAAGCGCGAACTCTACACCACCTATCCGTATAGGGAGCCGAAGAAAATCGAGATCGAAACCGACGCCAGCGACGAGGAAAAGGAGAAGGAGTGGTTCAAGGCGGAAGTGAGGCGACCAAAGGACACCTGGAGGTACGTGGCATCGGGTTCATTCGCACTAACATTCCTAACCCAGCCGTATGTTGCAGCCTGAAGATTGGCGAAGAGTACCAAGTAACCTTGAACTCCAGTCGCCCACTCAAGTACTTTTTCTACAACATCATTGGACGCGGCAATGTTCTGCAGACGGAGCGAGTGGATCTGGCCGAGCCGCAGAAGGTCTACAACATCACACTGAAGCCCACATTCCTGACCGCGCCCCATGGCCGCATCTATGTGTACTATGTGGATGAAACGGGTGAGTTCCGCTACGCCGAGGACACCTTTAGCGTGGAGGTTGAGCTGCAGAACAAGATTGAGATCACGGCCCCCGAGGAGGTGAAGCCGGGTGCCGATGTTGAGCTGGAAATCAAGACACCGCCCAAGTCATTTGTTGGCCTGCTGGCTGTGGATCAGAGCGTTCTGCTGCTGGGCAGTAATAACGATCTGGAGAAGGACTCCTTCAACTGGCGCTTGGGCGGCTATGACACGTCCACACCCTGGCAGGGTGGCTTCTCCTACTATCCCGGCGAGCGCAGCGGTGTGGTTACCATGACCAATGCCTATTTCTTCTACAATCGCACCGCTCCTGCCAGCCATCCACGTAAGTTCTTAAATATCACAAAAGTGCGCAAAAGATTTTCATTTAATTATTATCACTGACAGAGGCTTTTGCTTCTTTTGGTGGAACAGTTTCGGCCATGCGGAAGACGGCCATCGCGCAGGATGCGCCTGTCTACCATACAACAACCGCAGCATTGGGCGCTGTTCCAGCGGCAGGATTCTCTGCAGAGTCGGCCTCGGCTGCACCAGTGGTCCGCAAGAACTTTGCGGAGACTTGGATATTCGCCGACATTGAAAGCACCGAGACAGAGATCTTCAAGTGGGTGAAGACCATTCCCGACACCATCACCAATTGGGTGCTCACTGGATTCTCCCTGAACGCTGAGAAGGGACTCGGCGTGACCGACCATAAGGTGAACGTTAAGACGTTCCAGCCCTTCTTCGTCTCCATCCGTTTGCCCTACTCCGTAAAGCGCGGCGAGCTGATTAATGTGCCAGCCTTGGTCTTCAACTACTTGCCCAAGAACTTGGATGTGGAGCTAACGTTGGACAATCAGGATGATGAGTTCGAGTTCGTCGATGCCTCCAATGAGGTGATTGGCGATCAAAAGCGCACTCATGTCATTCGTGTGGGAGCCAACGAGGCAGCTGGTGCCTCATTCCTCATTCGCCCCAAGGTTATTGGCAATATTTTGCTGAAGTTTGCAGCCATCTCGCCTTTGGCTGGCGATGCTGTGCACAAGTCGCTTAAGGTAATACCCGAAGGTGTTACCAAATATCAGAATCGCGCCTTCTTCGTCAATCTCAAGGATGTGGGGGAGTACAAGAACACCTTTGAGCTGGAGGTGCCAGAGGACATAGTGCCGGACTCACAACGCGTCGAATTCGGACTTGTTGGCGATCTGCTCGGACCGGTGATCAGGAATCTGGAGAATCTGCTGAGATTGCCCAGCGGCTGTGGCGAGCAGACAATGTCCAAGTTGGTTCCCAACTATTTGGTGAGGGACTACCTGAAGAGCATCAAGAAGCTGACGCCAGCCATTGACACACGCATCAAGCGAAACCTGCAGGAGGGCTATCAGAATATGCTGCACTACCGTCACGATGATGGCAGCTTCAGCTCCTTCGGCCCTGGCAAATGGAGGGACGAAGACCCTGAACGCAATGGCTCCACTTGGCTGACCGCCTATGTGCTGCGCTCCTTTGGTAAAATCAAAGATATCATTGATCTGGATGAGAAAAGCTTGGAGAGTGGCTACGAATTCCTGCTGAGCCGTCAGGCCGAGAACGGCAGCTTCACCGATGCCGGAGAATATTTCTATGGATCACAGCGCTCCTCTCTGACCCTTACAGCCAACGCCCTGTTGGCGCTGCTCGAGCAGGACAAGAAGAACCAGACGGCCATCGACAAGGCTGTGTCCTATCTGAGCGCAAACACGGACAAGTCCGAGGAATTGCTGCCCAAGTCCATAGCCATTTATGCCCTGCAAAAGGCCAAGGCTCCGGACGCCGCCAAGCATGTGGCCAGCCTCAAAGCGCTGGCACAGCAGGAAGACGATCGCACTTGGTGGACGGAGGACACAGAGAAGCTGCGATCTTCCAGCGGCTGCGCCCGTTGGTGGTGCTGGGTGTGGAGCCACGACGTGGAGATCACCTCCTATGCCCTGCTCACTCTGCTGGAAACGGAGCAGGAGACACCGGATTCGGTGTTGAACTCTATCCGCTGGCTGGTGGCCCAGCGCAATAGCTTCGGAGGGTTCGCCTCCAGCCAAGACACGGTTGTAGGTCTGCAGGCCCTGATCAAGTTCGCCCAGCAGTCGGGCTATGAAGCAGCCAAGTGGGAGCTGAATGTCTCGAACAAGGGAAAGCGAGAGAAAACCGAGAAACTGAGCGTAACGGAGGAGAATGATCTGCTGCTGCAGACTGTCGAGTTTCCACAGGGCACCAAGTCGCTGGAGTTCGAGGCCAAGGGCACGGGAGCAGCTCTTGTTCAGATCAGCTATCAATACAATGTGGTGGAGAAGGAAGCAAAGCCCAGCTTTAAAATACAAACTATTGTGCGGCCAGAGTCCTCGCCAGCCAAGCTGGAGCTGAGCGTGTGCGTGGAGTACGTTGAGCAGGGCAAGGCAAAGGCCTCCAACATGGCCATACTCGAGGTATCCTTGCCCTCTGGGTATACCGCCGATGAAGATAGCTTTAAGAACATACAGGCCATTGAGCGTGTCAGGGTAAGTTCACACAGTTTGTCATCTTAATTGTGATCTATTAACCTGTTTCGGTCCCTTTGCAGTTGGTGGAAACCAAGAACGGCGACTCTGTGGTCGTTGTCTACTTTGAGCATCTGCTGCGGGATGAAATCAAATGCATACCCTTCGAGGCTTTCAGAACCCATGCGGTGGCCAATCAGAAACCAGCTCCCGTTGTCCTCTACGACTATTATGATACGAACAAGAAGGCCACCGAATTTTATCAACTCGAATCGAAGCTCTGTGACATTTGCGAAGACTCTGAGTGCAAGAGCAAGTGTTAAGTTAAGCTATCTGAACCAAATTTACTGATTATCTGATTTTCTATCACCAATAAATAAAGAACGTAATAATGTGATTATAATGGAAGACGGTTGCTTGATTTATGTTTGCTAAGTGATCGAGATGTAACGGCTTGGTGGCTAAGTTTGATGTCATAACATCATAATTTAAATGGCTTTTTATCGATAGGGCGAAAAAATACCAAACAAATTCTAGTATTTTTAAATTTCTGGTAACACCTAGAGCTGGGAATTCCAGAACCTAGTGTGTTTTCTCTGTAAAAAAATCAGGTGAAACAAGTTAAAATAAAATTAAAAAAACAAGGTGAAGCAGAGAGTGTTGTTTTCTGATGGTTCTTGAGTGGTAAAAGTTGAAACCAATTTAAGTAGATAAGAAAGGTAAACTAAACTTCTGGCAGGCTGGTCAAACCGGCAGGAGAAAATAAAAATGGCCTTATGTGAAATGCCTAGTCATAGCGAGAGCTGTCCAGTTGACAGTTTCTGCTAAAACCGACACCGCAAATCTACAATGACAATGACAAATGGCAGTGAAAATCAAAAAATTGCAGTTCTGTTTTATGCTTATTGTGTAAATCTGTGAAAAAAAACAGGTGAAACAAGTGAAAATACAATTAAAAAAACAAGGTGAAGCAGAGAGTGTTGTTTTCTGTTGGTTCTTGAGTGGTAGAAGTTGAAACCAATTTAAGTGGATAAGAAAGGTAAACTTTAGGCAAGCTGGTAAAACCAGCAGGAGAAATGCCTACAGTCATAGCGAGAGCAATATATATGCAACATGTGGCTGTCCAGTTGACAGTTTCTGCTACAAATCTAAACAATGGCATTGACATTGGCAGTGCAATTTTCTGTGTGACCGTAGAAACGAATTCTACTAAATTTCTGGCAGCATCTTCCAACACTGCAAATAGCTGATAATATACACAAAATATTCCATCAACCTGCGTTTGTTTTCACGTTATTTTATAATCAATCCAATAGAAGGAGTCCTTAAAATAAGCAAATCTTGTAGAAAGTTGAGTCATCAATCGGATTATGTAAGATGCTTAGCGCTGAAAGCTCTATGCAGCTAGTAACATTACACCGAATATCAAAACTGAGGAATATGATAGCACTGTACGCTGGATACCCTGTCTAGGTCAGACACCATTCCAGTAAAATTTCTGCCGGCAGCAAACAGCTGATGAAATCCACAACAAAACGCATTTCTAATAAGTACAATTTAACTGTGTTAAATATTGCCATATTTCGCCATGGAGACGCTAAACGTCGATTGTGTGTGCCATATACTGGAGTACCTGCCACTGGTGGAACAAATAAAGATGTGCCTACTGCCGCCACGCATCCGGGAGCTGCTCTGTCTGATTGTGTGGAGGAAGCCACCACGGTATCGGAATGTCTCCGTGTCGGATGCCATGCTGAAGCCATTGAGCAAAGCAGACTGCATCTATTTCTTTGAGCTGACCAGCGCCGTTATGGAGGAGCTCTACATATGGAATGTGCATTCAAAGGCATTCGATTCGTACCTGGTCGCCCGTGAATGCTCCATTCAGATTGAGTACTTAAGAGAGATATTGGATCAGCTGTCGCTGTCCCATCTAATACTCACCGCCAACAGACACCAAGTGGCGGGGACTATCCTGCCGAGTGCGAGGGCCAAGCGTCTCCATCGCCTGGAGATATCCGATGCCCAGGACTATGGCTTTCTATTGGCTGCTGCCGCAGCTAACCACGCTGGTGGTCAGCTACCACAAGGTGACGCCCCAAGATCAGCTTGGTATGTTGGCAACCACAGCAGACCGGTTGAGGATTCCTTCAGGTTGTATTGAATGTGTGGAAGTCGCACACGAGCAGATAGCGGCGCTCGAGAAGAGCCATCCCTGAAATACACCAAAAATTAAGTGAGACATTGAAAATTATGTAAGTACTTCTTGTCCAAGCCATTTGGGAGCGATCGAAGACGCCCACTTGAGATTGTTGCTGGTCTAGATGTTTGCCCGTGCCAGCAACAGATACATTTCATTCAAACGATGAGCCCAACTGATAGGAGTATGTCGTATCTGTTGACTACTGTGCTGTGCCGGAAATTCTCCCGTTCAATTGTTTGTCTCTATTGATATGGTTTGTTTGTTTTTTTTTTTTTTTCTTTTTATGCTTGCGGCAGCCTCTTTGTTCTGTGTCGGAGGTACTCTGTCGGATGAGGCTGTGAGACACTTTTATTGAGTTGTTAGACCTTTGCACTAATTGATATATATATGTATATGTCGTGACTTCCAATTAGGACAAACTTCGGCATTCGCCAACAATACACATATATCGAATATTCGCTTCGTTCTGTGTGTGAAAATTTGCATGTTGCTTGTTCTCTGATCCAATTGTAAATGCAGCAGAACAGATACTTCTTTTTTTTTGTTAGAAATAACAAACGCATTCGCTAAAAATAAACATATTACAAATATTCGCTTAGCTTCGGATCGTTCTGTATGTGCAATGTTCTATTTTGCTTGTTCTCTGATCCAATTGATCCTTTTTTTTTTTTTGGAAATAACAATCAAATTCGCTAAAAATAAACGGATCGTTGTGTATTTGAAAATTTGTACGTGCTTGTTCTCTGTTCCAATTGTAACTGGATATATCCTTTTTTTTTTCTTTTTTTTTTGAAATAAGAAACACAAATCTGCCCCAGTAAAAATCTTTATTATTCAATGAAGTTAGTATAAAATGATTAGTCACAACGACAATATGTTTAATGAATGCAAATATGATAATAATAGCATGAAGAAAAGTTAACAAGATCATTTTAGTATTAGTATTAGTAGGCGGCATGCTAGGCAGTGAAGCTTTGACCGATGTTATAAGAACAATGGACCCAGATACGAGAACATGACCCCAGAGAATATGCCTGTAATCAGCATTGCGGCCGCATACATGCCGGCAGTTATCTGATGCTTGGCATCCACAGTCTGGGGTGCATACATCATGCCCAGCGAACTCAAGTAACCCGAGCTGTACGACATTACGACGGCAAAACCCCAATAGACCCACTCGTTGGGGAAGTACACTTCGAGGGTCCTTGTCATATCTGGCGGTAAATAGTTGCACATGATGAACAGGGGAATGAAAACCACGCGCAGAGCCACGGGAACAATCAGATACTTTGGACCGGGCCATTGCACCCAGGAGGTGGTCAGACTGCCCAGCATAGCGAACACGTTGAATGTGAGGAAGCAAGTTATTAAGGTGAAGTAGTCCTTGGAGATGAAGAAGTCTGCGTCCGTGGGTCTAATGTTGGCATGGATGGCCGGGAAGACCGAGAGGGTCACAAAGAATGTCAGAAAGATGTTAAAGAGCTGAGGCGAGGCCTTCCTGAAGATCTGCCAGTAGGGAATATTAAGCTCTGCCCTCGAGTCGGACTTCTTCTCATTGCTCTGGCTGAGCTGGTCGTAGTGCCTAAAGAACCTGTTCACTGGCAGCGCGAAATAGGTGTCGAAGCACAGCAGGAGAATCACAATCGCCGTCACAAAGTAATAGATGGCCGATGTCCTTTTTGAATCGAAGAAGGCGGTGCAAGCGATGGACATCAAGGTGGTGAACACGCCACTTATGTTGGAGCCCAGGACAACGGCGCCCGTGTATTTGATGGGCAGCGAGGCCACGATGCCGTAGATGGTGTTCTGGTAGATGCCATTGCAGACGTTCAGCAACACAATGCTTACCATGGTGGCCCAGAAGAATATGCCCGGCCACTGGGACGAGTCCATCATAGCCAGGACAATGGTCACCAGCAGGATGACAATCTCAAAGATGATGCTATACACTATCCGGCTGGTCAGGTCGCCGCCAAAGTTCACAAAGATGTTCAGCCAGTTGAAGAGGAGATTGGGAATCTGCGAGGCAAAGCCCATATTCTGCATGAAGGTACTTCTGTAGTTGACCTCCGTCGGCACCGTGTTGTTCGCGCCCAGCTTGAAGTCCTCGAAGTAGGACTTGGCTGTGATGAACATGTTCCAGGGCATCAGCGTACCCAGTCCGTGCAGCATAAAGATGAAGAACACAATCTTGTACTTATCCTTGGGCGTCAGGCCCAGCATCGAACCCTTGCCATTCGAATCGGCTGGCGGCAGTTCCGACTCCCACGAAGGATTTAGTGTCACGGGCTTTGGTTGCTGCTTGCCAATAAAAGGCAGCTTCTCTGATTTTCCTTCGGACATTGCTGCGTGGCTTCTGTTCGGCTCGACGCTGCTCTGGTTATGCGGGCGACAGCAATTATTGGGGCGTATACCGCAGCACAAAAACTTGCACGGTCAGTTATTTTGCTGACTAGCGAGGGACGCCAAGCCGGTAGAAGGGCGGGAAGGTTTGACTTTTCCCTTTCCCTTCGGAACTCTTTCCTGCTGTTGCACCTCAGATGCTCTGTCTGGGGGGTAGGTATGGGATTAGTCGTCACGTGGTCGATTCTATACTCAATATCAATGGCTATATCTGTACCTGATGTCCGTGATTACAAAACAGATTGGATTCCCAAAGATTACGTGCTTCCTATCGCTGATTTGTTAGACTCAGACTAGTACCCACGCGTGAATTTTACGTCAGGGTATTTTAAGGTAGCTCTATGGAGGACTAGAGATGGGCAGCATAAAAACCCATCTCTACTGAGGACGATAAACATTTTTAACACTCTTTCTCGGCTGTTAGACCGACCATCTTAATCTTGAGCCTAGAACTCAGATTCAAAAACTGCTTGCTGGCAATCAAATTTCATATATTCTTCTAGCGGCCAGGCATATCCTGGGCTCCGCAATATATGTATATGAGTCATCGATGTTTGCTTTGAAAACACTGCAGCAACAGGTACCACTAGAGATGGCAAGACATCGATGGTTCGGTCTATCGGTCTGTGCGCAAAATATAATAATTAGTGTGTATATTGAGAAGATTGTTTTTTGTCAAGGACACAGTTTGCCAGCTTAACTAAAAGCTCACTTGTTGCACGGGAAGACTGTATTCATTGGATGCTTGATCCGCATATAAATTTGAATCCATCAAAACATCAGTGGTCGATAGATTCTATCGAGGTTTTCCCACCTCTAGATAACACTATTTTTGCCAGCTTCACAGCACTACGCATTTCTTCCTCTTCGCGCGCCGCTTTTTATTTGTGTAATAAAAACACGTTGTTTATAAGAATAATTAAAGAAAAAGGTGGCAATGAGCACCGAATTGACCACCCCCAACATTCAGCTGGGCGACTACATAGTCATACAGCGCCAGAAGTACACAAAGCTGCAGAAATTCGGCAGCCTAGACACGACGTCCACATTGGGCAAGGAGACTTTAGAGCTGAAGTCGCTGCTAGATCAACCGTATGGATCCACGTTCAAGATGTGCGTCAAGGAAACAAAGAGTGGAAAACGTGGCGCCCAGCGCCAGCACACCCTGGAGCTGTGCAGCGACACGGAGCTGAGGAGCACGCGCGAGGTTCTAGGCATCTCCAGCAGTGGCGCCGACAATCGTGATATATGCGACAATGGGGAGGCGCAGGCCCTGAAGTCCTCCGACATTGAACAGCTGCGCGAGGCCTGCAACGAGTCGAGCAAAATCATTGAAAAGCTCGTGGAAAACTCCAAGACGTTCCACACCCGCACCGAGTACTCACAGGAGAAGTATCTCCTGAAAAAGGAGAAAAAGTACTTTGAATTTGTCCAGATACGACAGCCGACGATCCGCCTGATGGTGGACATATTCTATCGACAGGATGCGGAGAAAATCATGGGCATACGCGTGGACACGCTCTCCCAAATCATTTCGTACTCGGGAGTATGCGGCTTTGGCAACTATTTGCTGTACGAAAGCGGCACCAATGGCCTGCTGCCGGCGGCCATGATGAACTCCATTGGGGCCAGCACCGAGGGCACCTTGGTGCACATGCATCCCGGCAATGTGCCCCAGAAACAGGCACTGCTTGCCCTGAAACTACCGCTGGAACAGCAGCAGCGTTGCGTCTCCGTCAATCTGTATTCGGTGCTGAGGGAGTTCTACCAGGGAGAGACCACAAATGTCTCCCCCTCTGAGCCCAGTGAAGTGGAGGCGGAGCAAACGCTGGCCGAGACGCCCACCGAAGAGCAGCCGGAGGCCCTTGAGCCGAGCACCAAGAAGCCCAAGCTAGACGAGGCTCCTCCAAGTGGTAAGGGAGTAACTTGTTTTCCATTCAGCAACTGATTTCTCATGCGTCTACCCTTTGCAGGCAACAGCAAAGGTCCCCTGCGATGGCAGCTGGAGAACAAACGCGCCACCGCACTGATGCACGAAAAATTCGACAGCCTGGTGGTGGCAGCCAAGGAGCATCCATCGAGCATACTGCAGGCCCTGCTGCCACTTGTGAGGCCCTCGCGACCCGTTGTGGTCTTCAGCACCTGCAAGGAGCTGCTGCAGGAGACCTTCATGGAGCTAAAGACCTCCGGCAAGGTTACCGCACTCCACGTAACCTCCAATTGGTTGCGCACCTATCAAATACTTCCGAATCGCACCCATCCAGAGGTGAACATGAGCGGCAATAGCGGCTACCTACTGACGGGCTTTACCCTAAAGTAAAGTAGAGAGTTGTGCGACTGGCGAAATATACATGTAAGCATTTTGTTTTTGATAATATTATGTTTTATCACTGGTTCACAATGCTCTCTGTCTGCTCTGGATACGCTGTGTGTAGGGTGTAGTGACTGGCAGCGGAGAATCGTGTAAATGTTTATGGTAGGACACGTGTACGGTGCTGGTGGTGGTGGGGGTACTGTAAGCTATTTGGAGTGTGTGTGTGTGTGTGTGTGTGTGTTTGTTGATTGTTTGCCACTAAACGGGCGGCACTTGCTTCAGCACAAAGTAGTGCCCGCACTCGCAACGCTTCGGTGGTCCCTTCTCCAGCCACATCCACTTGGCGAAGCGGTCGTCCAGGCACAAACAGCCCACAAGGCGACCATCAAATGCCGATGGTATTTGTGTGGGATCGTTCAGCCTGCCAGATCCACGCTTCAGAATCTTGCCCAGTCCCCAGGGATCACCGCAGCCCTGTTCCTTCAGCAGCATCTCGCGCTTGGCAATGCCAGTGGCCAGCTCCATGTCATCGGCCATCTCTGATGGGTTCGGATCTCAGTTGCCATTTGTACCATTTGTGGCTGCAGTTATTCCACTTACCCGCCATTCGTACTGGAGTTGTGGATATTTCACGTGTGGATTCAGTATCCGCCCACTTCTGCAGACCCATGCGACGCAGCAGGGTACTGAGTTTCCCTTCGCGCTTCGTCAATTGCGAGATGAGTCGCTTGGAGGCGGCCTGAGCCTTCAACAGACGTGCCAAATACGATGACATACTGTCGAGAATTTCAATTTATTTCCCTACTGGAAAATAGCTCGGAAATATATAATTTATTTTTGTTTAGCCTGGGATCGAAACCTATCCCTTGCACAGCTTCGAATGGAATGAAAGGGATACTAAACAGTCGCTGAGACATTTGTTTGGTTGTAAGGAAAGGCCTGCTGGGATCGAGAATATTTCCCTTGCTATATTTAGACACATTTCCGATTTACTTTCGCTGAAAATCACTTTGATCCTTTATTGTTCGTTTATCTGATATATATGTATATACTCAAGCATCGCTCCTTGGATGAACGTTGACTGCGGTGGAAACTAAGGACTTAAAACTGAAAAACGGGAAGAGCTGCTGCCTGCTGCCTGCCCCCTTGATAGCCGCCGAGGTTGGTGATTTGGTATTGTTGTTGTTTTTCTGGGTTTGATGTCTGTTTTTATTTGGACAGCTAAGTGTTGGTTGACTTTTAGCTTAGTAGTTGTTGTGTGGTGTGTTCTTGTTATTAATTGGTTTTATTTAATTAATTAATAATAACTTTAAACAGCTGCCTTCTCGACCAGCTTGAACCAGTGGCCGCACTCACAACGCTTCTGGTTGCCCTTCTGCAGCCACATCCATTGCACGTAGGTCTGATCCTCTTCGCCTGCAAAATGAAGTGTGTTAGTATGGCGCTCCTTTCCATGGGCTTGTGTTTACTCACAGATGCAGCCAACGATTCTGGCATCGAAGGCCGATGGAATCAAGTTGGGGTTCTCCTTGGTGCCAGCACCGCGCTTGAACACCTTCATGTCGAAGGGATTCTCATTGCCGGCGGCTTTGGCGAGCAGCTCACGCTTCTCGATACCCGTGGCATGCTCCATGGGGTCGTTCATCACTGCAAATGGAAATACAACAGCAAATTAGCTTGTGATTGTGTCCTCGATTGATAAGCAACTGCCACTCGGATCAGCTGTGCAGCAGCAGCAGCGATCCCCGGAGTTACATAAACGGCAAACGCCCGCAACGAACCTCTGCGGCTCTGTGTCATCGTCTAACTATTCGAAGTCATTAGCCGCCCCTGATAGAGTCCAGTGGCAGAGTCGAGGTGCGAACTGCGTATCACTGCCGTTCCCCCCACCGTGTGCACATAAAACACATTTCCCTGCGCATAGTTATTACATAACCTCCCCACCGAGGCAGGCGCATTTTCAATTGCCAAAAAATGCTGCTCCAGATGCAATAAACTGCCACAGAATGTGTACTGGCCGTGCATTGGCTGTCATATTATGCAATCCTAGCCATGAAACTCGGATGCAGAGGCGCCATCATATCAAAATCCCCACACACCACGACGGGGCGGCGGACGTGACGGCAGCGCTGGAGATTTCGCTTTGATTTCTGCACTTACTTTTGCAAAAACGCACGGGCGTGTATGTAACATTTTGGCGTGCAGCGGCACGAAGCGCCATGCGTCCACAGATCGATGCCATAGTTCGTTTCGCGAAAAGTTGTGGCTCCTAAAAATTGAAACACCAATTCTTTCGTAATTTTTCACAGCACAGTGTGACCGCGGATTTATCGGAAAGATATACCGCCAGCGTGACCGCGGATCTATCGGTAAATTATACCGCCTAACACTCAGAAATATACCGGAAAATACCGTAAATATACTGGTGTAGACAGGTGCTGTGAAGCGTTGAAGAATGCCCGAAGGTTGCCAGATGGGTGGATCACGGTGCTGCCTCTTGAACCGCTAGTAGATGGCGCCTGCAGTTGCCCGGGCAACGATAAAATGCAAAACAAACCAAAACCGAAAATTCGTCTAATCGGGAAGTAAAAATGTCTAACAAGCCCATAATCTGCTTTGATACATCCAAAAATGAGCGATTTCAAGTATCGGACAACTATAAAATGCTCCACCGCAAGCTGAAGGCCAACTGGAATGTGGAACAGTCAGTATTCGGGCAAAAGATTCGAATTTAAACAAAATAAACTCAAACCATTTCGAACACCCTCAGAAGCGATGGCGAGCTGCAAAAGGAGCGGCTTTCGCGTGTCAAGATATTCGTCCTGGCTGGCCCCCAGGATCGCTTCACCGAGGACGAGTTCGAAGTGCTCAAACACTACGTGGAGGTGGACGGCGGCAGTCTGTTGGTTCTCCTGGGCGAGGGCGGCGAACAGGAGTTCAACACGAACGTGAATTTCTTTCTGGAGCAGTACGGCATCTACATCAATGGGGACAATGTGGTGCGACCGCATTACTACAAGAATTTCCATCCCAAAGAGTGCATTGTGGGTGGCGGCGTGGTCTGCGAGTCCATGTGGCGGCACCTCATCAAACTGGACATTGAGAAGGTCGACTATGACTTCAGCGACGAGAAGTACAAGATACACTTTCAGTATCCGTACGGCGCCACCCTGAATGTCTCGGAGCCCGCCAATGTCCTGCTGACGACGGGGCCCGTGGTGTATCCCTTCAATCGGCCACTGGCGGGTTACTATACCAACGGCAAGGGCGGAAAGATCCTGGCCCTGGGCTCCGGCTACATCTGGCACGATAAGTATTTGCAGGACAAGACGAACGATGCCATGCTGGAGTATATACTGAAGCTCCTCGGTGGCGATGCGATTAGCTACACCCACTTGGACTTTAACGACGTGGAGGTGAGTGCAGGAAGCTGTGTGTGTGTGTAGGGAGTGCGCTCCTAGTTCAAAGATCTCTTGATTCTGCGGCTGCAGCTCAGCGACAACAAACACTTTACGGATCTGGCCTTCCTGGCGGACATGCCCAAGGCCTGCCTGATCGACTCGATTGGCACCGAGATGCCCACAGATTTCAAGCAAATGTTCGACATGGAGATGTGTGCGCTGAGCAACCGCCTGCTGAAGGATGTCATCGATGGGTACGAGCAACTGCACGTGAAATACGAACCGCTGCGGATCATCAAGCCGCAGTTTGAGATCCCGCTTCCCAGCCTGCAGTTGGCCACATTTCCGCCCATATTTAGCGAGCCGCCCGCCCCACCGCTGGAGCTGTACGATCTGGATGAGACGTTCAGTGGGGCGCGCTCCCAGTTGGCGCACATGACGGGCCAGTGCCTGCAGGCGCTGCAGTCCAAGGAGCCAGCGCGACGCAGCCTCAACCCACGGGAACTGGAGAACTACGTGAAGGAGTGCGCCCGGATAACGGCCATTGTGGGGGAGCAGCAAGACATGCCAGCCCGCGAGATACTCAACATTGTGGCCCGACAGATAGTCAGCTACAGGCCATATGCAGAGGATTAGCCAGGCCAGACCAGACCAGGCCAGGCCAGACCAGGCCAGACCAGACAGCGCTGATCCGATTACCCATCTGCCATGCCATCCAGCCAGAGCGGCACATTCCGCGCAACGACTGCTGCAATTCGGGCAAATCAGCAGAAATTTGTGAATTTTGTGAATTTTGTAGACTTGAATTATAAAATAATAATGAAAACCCAAGTACGTTTTATGTAAACATGTTGGCGACTCGTATTCAAACATGGCGGGCGCAGCGAAGCGAACGAAAGACCCAAAGCCAAGAACGTTCCTCCAGTGGGCTCCTGCTCCACTTGGGTGCGATTCCTACTTGTATTACACCCGAAATTTCGAGAGCGCAGAAACACTAAACCTGTGGGAAGTAAAGCTATATTATAGCCGCTGCTCAGCCATCATTTGCTACGAAAAATTGTGTTTACTTAACACAATTAATTATTTTTATTAATATTTCTCGACATTTCTCCCCTATGCACTGCACTGCCCTCCCCTTCCCTGCGCTCAGGAGGCCAGGCCTCTGTTCCGTCGCTCCTATTCTGTTTTTAGGTGTCGACAATTTGTTTCCGTCTGCCAGAGAGGGGGAAAGCAGCGCATTGCCGCTGCTAATTGAGCGCGCGGATGGAAGGGGCAGAGTAGAGTGTGTGAAACCACTAGTTAATGCATGTCACAACAAATGTTGTCATCAATCTGGGATCTGGGATCCCCAGGGGCCAGGGACCCACCAATAGAGAGCGCAAAAGAATCCTGTAAAAAAACAACTGCCACAACTGGCGGTTGTAAATTCTTTTTGCTTCCCCAAATGTGAACATCAATTCTCTGGAGCTTACGAGGAGCAGGAACAGGAAAACTACATCTGAGAATAGTTGTGGATCTTTAAAGAAATTCATAAAAATTCATTGAGATATTATTTGGTTTTAATGTTGAATATTCATATGGCAAAACCAATAAAATCCCCCATCCATTACCTCAGTTCTGGCCCTGTTCTGGCGCTGTTCTGGCTTTCTTCTGGCTCTATTCTTGCTTTCTTCTGGCTCTCTTCTGGCTCTATTCTGGCCCTGTTCTGGCCCTCTTCTGGCTCTATTCTGGCCATGTTCTGGCCCTGTTCTGGCGCTGTTCTGTCTCTCTTCTGGCTTTCTTCTGGCTCTCTTCTGGCTCTCTTCTGGCCCTGTTCTGGCCCTCTTCTGGCCCTCTTCTGGCTCTGTTCTGGCCATGTTCTGGCTCTATTCTGGCTCTGCTTTGGCCCTGTTCTGGCTATCTTCTGGCAGCTGTGTGGATCCACAAACGACGGCTGTTCAATCAATCAATATTGAAAATTCCCACACCTCCAGCGGGTTGCTGGTGGGGGTTCGCCATTTTGTTTGCTATTTCTGTTCAGTTTTTCTCCCGTTTCTTTCTTTACTCTTGTTGACCGCTAAATATAACGTATAACGTATAACGTTGGACAGTTAAGCCGTGGAACCGCTGCTGCTGCTGCTGCTTGGTGCTGCCATCGGGGGTGCAGTAATCTGTCGGTGTAAAAGAGGTTGGGCTGAAATCCGATATGGGGCAAGTAGGAAGTTACCTTGAGTGCATTTCTATATACGTACGTACTCGGCGCGTATTGACAGTGACAATGCCCGTGTCGCGTCGCCAGTCCAAGTTGCAGTTCATTCATGGTTTCAGGCCAGACCAAACAGAGCAAACAGAGCAAACAGGTTCACAGGCTACAGAGCCCACAGAGCTCTCTCTCTCCGCACAGAAGCCGCACAAGTATTTCCACCGGCAAAGGTTTCCCCTGCTCCAGACCCAGACTTAGCCCAGCTCCAACTGCACTCCTCCCTCCAGCCATCTGCCTGCGGAATGCATTTCCATTTACTGTCTGGGGGGAAGACAGCGATTTTCGTCCATCAAATCGATTTTGTTTATCGAGCAAATCCATTGGCCAACCCAAACCAACCCAAACCAACCCAACAGCTGTATTTGCCGGGCATCACTTCCGTTCCAGGCAGAACACTCTGCACCCTGCACCCTGCACCCTGCAAATATGTGTGTGTAAGGAAAAGTCTTGACTTTTCAAGAGGTTTGTTTGACTTCGACTCGTCGGAGAGTGGCCAGGGCCAGGGCATCCGCATCCCTTTTTGTTTTTGGTGTCTGCCGCCATCCAGCTGCGATTTTTACCTCATTTATAAATTAGTTATGTTTTCCAAACTGTCCAACATTTGTCACCTGTAAGTCCCCCCCGCTCTGTTAGTGTGTAGGGGGAAATTCCGGGGAAAACCCTCATGGAGCACCTCATGGTGGCTTGATGCGGGTCGTCGCGACATCATTTTAATTAAATTACAGCAACCAAAACGTGCGACACCATAATAATTTTTATTCATTGTCAAAAATGGGCAATCATAAAAAACAACACGTCTGCCGCGCAGCTGCTTAAGACTGAAGGGGGGGGGGAGGTGGGGCGCAGGGAGCAGACTGTCTGGTCAGCAGACGACACACACACCCCTCCCCTCTCCCTGCCCGCTGAAAGAGAATGTAACAATCAATTAACAGGGCAGATAGGTTAAGGTTGCAGCCTCAGCTTAACCCTCCTGTGTGTGTGTGTGGCTGTTACTTCTGGGATGCTACAAAACGATTTGTGGCATGCAGCTTGGAGATACATACATATGTTACAGATGATAATATTCAGATAGATTTTGTGGCTTGCAATTATGAATTTAATTGATATTAAAGAGTTTTCTACGATGTTTACTATCCCAAAGTATTTTATTTTATTTGATTTATTACTTTTACTTTTGATCTATAAATGTGGGAATATGTTTAACGTTTATTTACTATTTGTTATTTATTATAATTATTTATTATTATTTATTTATTATTATTTACTTACTATTATTATCTTTATAATATTTTTTTACTTACTTTTTTTTTAGCTGCAAATTCATATATTTTAGGCTTTTTTAATAGTTTCCTTTCGCCCTTAACTTTATCACTTAGTCTTGCCCTGCCTCTATTTACTAGCTGAATTTCGTTCATAGTATCCCCATATTTTGGTAGCTGTCATCTTTGTTTACCCTCTGACCCAGGCGAGGGTTAAAGAGCTTCAGAGCAGAGCCGTTGACCCAAGCCAAAGTCGTCTCTTGGCACGCTTCGTCGTCGTCGTCGTCTTCGACGTCTGCTCCCTCGCTCTTTGTTCTTGTGACTGTTTGTTGTTGCTGTTGTTGTTGTTTTTTGGTGTCGTTGTGGGGCCCTGTCAATGTCTCTATGGCGGTGGAACCATGTCCCATGACCATCATTGAAAAAGAAAGCTTGTCTTGTCTTGTGTTTTATGTTCTGGCATTGTTATTAATTCATCATTAATTTGTATGTTGTACAACAAGCTCTAATGATGCCTGCGAATGACAGACTGACTCTCCACTATCCCGCTAGCCCCTGCCAGATCGAACCTCTGTTGAATATCGTAAACTAAATCCAAAGCAAATGCTCGAAGGGGGATTGGGTACAATTTAAAATGATTTAAAAATCGGACGGACGGCGTTGCAGCTTTCGAAATTTTATGAGCTTGTTGCGCTTATTAGTCGCGCCACGAGAAATGGCGACAGGCCACAGCACCACCAAACAAAAAAACAACAACCAACAACCAAACAGCAACAACGACACGAAGAACAGGAACAACATGCATTTCCACGGCTAATTTTTCACGCGCACTCCATTCCCGTTGCCACAGTCGGCAACCGACAGCGACAGCTCCTGACCAGGCTATCACTTGCCAAAGTTGCCCCGGAGGGTATCAGCACTATTGGGTGGTCCTTGTGCGGGTGGTGTACCTTGCGAGTGGCGGCAGTTTTATTTGTAGAAAGAATATTCTTGATTATTTATTCATCTTTCAGCCCACAGTTTTGGCATTCAAAGCTTCCATTAAACCTTTTTCCCTTGCCCAAAAGTGCATCCAGAATTCGTTCAGCCTCCCATTGACTGCCAGTCGCTTGTGTTTTATTTTTATATATTTTTGGCACGCCAGACACGCACGAGAAATTCCAAGAGATAAGGATCGTGTACGACAAGGTGTATTATGGACCCCCAATCCTCGAGCCCCAATAACCCGCTGCCTCCTTCAGGCTCCAGGCTGTAGGCTCCAGGCTTCGACGTTCCACGTCCCAGTGCCCAGTGTCCCCACGAGTCATACTGTTGACTCTGTTAAATTGCCAATATTTATGGTTTTGCCTGGTCGGGCTGACTTGTTAAATGGGTGTTCCAGCCACATGGCCAAGGAGTCCCCCCCAGTCCTTGTGCCTGTCTCTCTCTCTCTGGTTTGAGTCTCTGGGCCCCTTTCGAATTGGTAGCTGCAAAAACGTTTAAAGACAAAACGTGTTGGCCCGATAAGGCAGCAGCAGCAGCGGCAGCAGCTGGCCAGACAGAGCATGGGCATGGGCCCCATCAATTTTGACGTATGTTTGTCAAAGTTTTAGCAGCAAGACGCCATTTTGAAAGTGCCCCCCACATCTTTATATCTCTCTCTCTCTGTGTCTCTCTCTCTTTGTCTCCGTTTCTATGTGCAGCTAAGCAGAAATGTGCAATGTCGTTGTCGTTGTCGTCGCCCATCGCTGAAGCTATAAAAATGTCAAAACCTGCAACAAATAAAGAAGAATTATAAAGAAATCTAGTGAGAAAAAAAATCATATATAACACACACGCACACACACACACACACACATACTTGTAATCGTACTATAAGTTTTTCTGTCTGTTGTATCTGTTAGGCAAACTGCAACAAAAGTCACTTCTCTACAGCAGATGCCAGGCAAAAGTTGTTCCCTTTTTGATTTTATTTTGCCATGAGCTGTGAATCTTACTCGTAAAAGGGATTCTTTCATTTTTTGTGACTGCTCAAAGGTTACTGCCATTAGCTGATAAAATTGTATGTACATATGTACTACATATACATATCTACATATTTATTTACATATTTATTCATCCCTAGCAAAAGGTCCTGAATTTTTACAATGTGTTAATAGAATTGCCACGAGTGTGGAAATTGTAAAAGAACATTTTTTATTTGAATATTTCGTATATAAATAATTAATTTTCATAAGCAGATTAAATATATTTAAGGCAAATTTAATATGCGATTTTTATTTAAAAGTGTTTTATATTTAGATTAA